ACGTATATCTAAGCTACCAAAAATTCTAATCTCATCGTGATGCAGCTCGTGACTATCGAGAGAATGTAATAGAAAGTGTGGGAATCGTGAAAGATGAATAAAAAAAAAAAAAGAAATAGATTGTCCCGTGATTTTAAGGAATTCTTTGGTAGTCACGAGTTCTCATCACTTTTCCGATAATAGGGATTATAATAGTCGGTGACGACTTACTTAACGACTATAGAGAGCGTTTCTGAATTTTTTAAGTCGCGCATCGACATTAAGGTGCATCCTGTGGGCGCAAGAAGTCTATTTGATATTTATATTTTAATACACACACGAGCCGATTATATTTAGTGTATTGTCAAATATATTGATTAACCGTCTCGGCTGTTTGCTCGCTCGCTCGTCGCGAACTCCATTGGAAGTTCCGGCTGGCCAGCCGAGATCGTGATCAGAAAGAAAATGGAGAACGGGATGCGAGCGATCAGTCGGCGCGCGACCCACGATTTTCTGTATATTACTGTAGTATAATAATCAAACACTAAAGACTAATGCTTAAGGTGATCGAGGCTCCGTTGTAATTCGGAGTAATAAGTGTATTCGCGAATTATTATGCAACCTAAACGTCATGTCGCAGAGGAAGAAAGAGAAAAAAAGAAGATGAATATAAAGAAAAAAGATTAAGGGAAAAATTAAAAAAAAACGCATTTGGCTAATTAACAAAGGGTACATTCGCAGCGGTATAAACGTCACTGTGTCTTAGCTCATAAATAAATGCGAATGTTCGCGCATTATCGCGAGCAATCTGTGAACTGAATTGAGTAGTGTTTTAAGCGCACTCTTCTTTTTTCTTCTTCTTAAACACACTCTCCTGGATTGTGTGCGTATTCAAGGACTCCCATTTCCATCCAATAATATTCAGCTGGAATCAACGAAATCTCCCGTAAACTATTATTACTACTTCCTGTGTCCTTTGTTTTATGCAAAAGTTTTTATTTCGAACTGAGTTAAATGTGCTCCGCTTCATTTTGTTTTATTTAATTACACGTGTTGTACTACTAGCTCTGTTAATAGTTTAAATCATCGAACCAATTTCTGAATTGAACGATATTCCATGCTTGAGAAATCACATTTCTCTTTTTTATTTTTCGTGTAAAATTTTAGATTTTTTAAATCTAAATATATAAGCGCTCTCCTTCGACAAGCGGAAGGATGCCTCTTTTTTACAAGTGTGATTTTCTTATATTAATATCGGCTATGCTCATTTTGAAACAAGAAAACGGGATGGAGTAAATTGGAGTTCAAGCTTGACGCAATTGTGAAATCTTTGATTTGCTCCAATGTAATTATGTCAATTATGTCGATATTTGTGACTCTTAGTCAAAAAAGAGAACTGAAGAAAAAAAAATTGCAATTATTAAATATGCCTAAGTCAGCTTGTGTGTGTGTGTCGCGAGAAAATGTTTGTTCACATTTTGCTGGGTAATTATCAGGTAGCAGCATAGCAACATAGCGATTTCGGAATGGAAGGGAAAAAACACAGATAGGAAAAAAAAGTCTTTAACTCTTACGTACCTGTTCTATAACATCTAAGTCCGCAATCAAAGTAATTGTTTCACCGAAAGAAAGTGATCAAAATGAGACGTCGATCAAAAAGCCTCGCGTTTGTAATACGTAGACGAGAATTTGTTAGGCACAAAACTCTCGAATTGTCCCCTTTTTATATGACGCTGTATCGAATTCACAATAGATAAATGTGATTAGAGATTACAGAGATTACATGCTTTATTTTGGCGCACGTTTCGCCAGTTTCTGTACTTTGCTATGCTGTCACATGACTTGAAAAAAAATCAATGTAACTAGACCAACCAATGTGATTCTGTGGCTTAGGAATCCCATTTGCATATATATTGAAAAATTCAACGTTTTAAGAGTACGTTAACTTATGCCGATTATAAAAATGGCGTGAATTTTCTGTAGATCAAACACGGACTTTCTTTTCCCTATTTTCGAGCTATAGAATGATATTGATTGTGAATTTTTGATAGAATCATAGGGCATTTGAGGATCCACACATTAGATGATCGCATACTGGGAACCGATCTGTAGAATGTTAAAAATTAATGTCTGTAAGATAGAGATTGTTCGTCGTAAGTTGCATAGTTTTTCATCACTAGGATATAAGGATTTCTATTCTAATATATTAATGTGTTGGGGCAAATAACTATTGACTTCTTGAGAGTAGTGCGGGATCTTGCTGAAAGATATACGAAATGTATGTAATAATATATATCTATTTCTCTTCTTGTCGGCCAAGTCCTGTATTAGATTGTATAGACAAGAAGAGAGCGCATCGCCTAGAATTAACTCCCAAATCTTCTAAACTACAAAAATGTTTATTCAGAGAATTTGAATATCGCGAATAATTTTCAGTTTTACTATTTTTCTAAAGTAATCTGTCTTACATTAATTTTGTGTATACGGTTGAATTTCCCGATGCAGAAGAACATATCAAGCCTCCAAAATTTTTGGTAAAATAATAAGAAAACGTAAACTATCCGCTTGCTTTCGAGAAATATATTTTTCATGCTTTACATCCTCTCTTTTGACTTTACATTTTTAACTACAAATTTTATTAAACGTTATTCAATCGTATTTGCATACAAACAAATTGAACATAATAATTAATAGCAAACCAGTAGCAATAGGAAAAGTTTATACAACACCTTTAAATTTTCATAAAATTTATAAATACCTCTTTTTAAAAACACCTAAATGTTAAATTTACATGTCGTAAAAATGTGAGTTTCTCAAAATCGCTTCCACTAATGTATATTTGATTACATTGCGCCGTTTAAATTTTATTAGAAATTCTCTCTTTGAAACAACGTATGTGTGGAAATAAATGAGAGAATCCGTGAATAAACTACAGATATAATTTTAGTATATAGAGAGGAAAATAATTATCTCCGCTATATTTCGATCAATTGCACTTTGTATGAGAAGTCGAATGCAAGATTGTTATTTGTGTCATCCTACAGTGTGTTGTCTACTTTTCTTTACTACGAAACTACGAGTTCAATATATATATATACAGTTGTTACGTAAATCAAATTATGCGATTATTAACTAAATATGCGACTGAATAATCAATTTAAAAAAAAGTATAATAGGGTACACATACGCAAATATATAGTTTGCTCGTAGATGTGTGCACTTTACATAATATCGATTTGTCGTGTGTACGACAGTTCGATATTGAATGAAATAAATGAGTTTATTTACGAGCATTATATATACGTATGTTACAATATATTAATTGATAAAACCAGGGTACATATGTGTGTAATACGTTAACGCGAGACGTTTACACGCGAGCATCCCATAGCATATGTGGACAAAACAATTATTGTATATTATAATCGTGTTCGACGGGGCGTGAAATATTGTAAATAAACACATATTTCACATCGATTTCGACCGTCGAGCACAGTACGAAACATGTAAATGTATTTATTTAGAGATCATAAAGGGGAAAAAAAGTAGCGTTGCGTGTGTATGAAAATATAATAGAACAAAAGAAAAAAAAAAAGAAGAGCAGTATAACTCGATACTAGACTGTCGTAAATTTATTAACTTATTATTATTGTTCCTGCCTATTCGCGCAATCTTTGACTGCAATATATCGTAAACACGTCGGACCAACGTCGTTGTGAGCACTAGCTGTAAATTTTGACACCATTACAGCCTCTCGTCGTCGAGCACTGTCACTTCGCGAAAAAAGAGAAAAAAAAAAGAAAAGGAAAGGAAGGAGACATCGTATACTTCAACATACGGTGAATTTGATCTTTTCTTCGCCAAATCACAAAATTTAGATTCCTTGTTCATATATCATATTGATATAAGATAAATGTTTCTATTAATGCGCGTTAGCTATATAATGCACATAGCTATTCGATACATTATATATATATATATATATATATATATATATATATATATATATATATAGAGAGAGAGAGAGAGAGAGAGAGAGAGAATTCATTTACATCTAGAATTTATCAACTTCGATGCAATTAACAGCTAATATCTTTTAATAATCGAACATAACTTGCCCATGTATTTCAAAATGTGGTATTTGCTTTATAAAAATAAAAAAAAATATACATTATACAGAGTTTATGCAACCGAAGATAGTATAATGGAGAGACAGGTGCTCGGCTCCAAGTATAATATATATTCTAGGCTTTTATCCGTAGAATTTTTCCTTGTATTTTATACGTACATAAATACATATGACGCTCACATCGACAAGGCTTGTAAGTGAATTTCATCCCGAGACGATCCTTCAATATAATAATAATGTATCCCGAAGAAGAACACGATTTTCTGTCAAAGAATTAATTCTCCAAATTCTTTCCGATTTTCTTTTCGCGAGTATCATTCGTAACGTATTATTGAAGAGCAAGTTCCTTGGCTGTAGCTTTCGATAATTCTCTCTTCTTTTTGCCACCTGGGAACGCAGAAATTGTCTCGCGAGGCTCAAAGTGAAGCAGCATCAGAGCCGCATTAAGCAATGCGTGTTATATTTATCGGCAACGACACCACCACTCATTGTCTGCGACTATGTGATTTCCGTTGCAACGGCGAGCGAATTACTATTGTCATGGTATATGTGTACTAAACACGCCGACGATAATAACATTAATGATAACAATTACAAAATAAATGTTGCCTTTTGTCACATTGGTAAATGGTAAATGAGCAAGATACTAATGAATTATGTGCGATTAATAATGTAATAATCTATTGTATTATAAGTATACTAATACCGCGCGGTCACGCATTATGTACAATGTCGTGGAGATTATTTCGTATGATTGTAAATGATATGTGTATTGCGTTGATGTAACGCGCCCCTATATTGTAGTAGGGCTGTGAAATAAATCAACCAGACACTTTGCTAGTCTTATATGTTACTATCCTTAAAGCACTTAAAGATTATTTAGCCAAAGATATATTCTTAATTTATTTATTCTTAACTTGCTTATTACGAGAGTTCAATCACAATATAAATATTACAATATAATTTTACATACAACGAAGATCGATACGCTGAGATAATTAGCACGATATTTATTCAACGAGTAGATATATAAAAGTCGGCGCTATATATAATATTCTTTTAAATAAAATAATATCTGATATACATGCGCGAATATAGATAAATTTCTCCCTAATAGTCTCCAAAATTTATCTATCATGAGGATCTGCATCTAGATGACATTTTAAGATGATGTAGATCCTACATAACTGTTATTTTGTGCTGCTTTATGTAATACATTGGTTTGCGTAGAGGAAGCTACTAATTCAGCCATGACTGGCACAGTGCTCTTTGATGGCACATGGAAAAAATATAGCATAAATCCTGCTGCTAGCAATAAATGCATACCCAGAATTACAGCAATATATATAATTCTATGTTTACCTATAAAATCAATTATTATATTAATTAATTATTATTAGTTATTTATTTCATTTATTATATCACATTTTCTATTTGTTAGATTAATTTATTTATTATATCACACATTTTCTATTTGTTAGATTAATTTATTTATTAAATTAATTATTCCTTATGTTTTTATGTATTTTAGCAGACAGTTTTAATAGACAGCAGTATCTTTTACCTGTAATCACTGGTAACAATGATCGTAACAAAACTCCTCCAGATAAAAATGTAGCTAGTATGACTAAACTCCATTGCAACCAACCAATTTGAATTGTCCATAGAAAAGCTACTGGAATATAAATGCTTAAAGAATATCCATACAGACATAAAAGTTCTAAAAGTCCTGGGGCAGCGTAAGACTGAAAAACAAAGATTATGCAATAATGCAATAAATAATGCAAGAGATTAAAGATTAGACAAAGAGCAAAGAAAAATATTATATAAACCTGAATTAGCTCTTCTTCAGTATTTCTTGAATTGTAAGTCCATTTCAATGCGCCCCATAGGGCTAATGGTAGAAGCCATGCGTATAAAAATATACAAGTGGCTGCATATGAAACAACATGAAAATCATACTTCCAATGATACTTGGCAGAACTGGCAGTCTGTAAATAGTTTGCCATATTCCCACTGATTGCAATGGAAAATACTAAAGTTACACATATCCAGAAGGGCCCGTACAAATCTGGATTTGGTCTTATATGCGTTATAAGATAATTATCGCTACCATGTGGTACCATGGATCGCTTGAGTCTTTCCAAGACATCGTTTGTATTGACGTTGAAGAATTTTTGATAATATTCGACTTTCCAAAAGTTGTGTTGAGCAGCAGCTATAAAAAAAATAAGACTTGGTTTAAGTTCCATATAAGTTAACACTAAAACGAAATTTATTTATTGATATAAAATTGAACAGAGACTTTTCTAGAAACATATAATTATAAATACCGTCTGTTTTATCGGTATTTATTCCTTGTAGGTCTTCTATCATGCCGATACCTGTAGAATCATTTGACAGGTTATTGAAAGGCTGGTGAGTGGAAGTCCCAGTATTCATTTGTCCCTCAAGATTACTGGCATGGCTCATCGATGGGAAATCGTGAAAAGATATAAACTGCGAATTCGTATTTTTCGTTTGACCACTATCCATGATTCAATGTAATGTTCCTTTTATATCCTCAATTCACACTTCGTTGTGACAAGTGCCATGTACACGTCGCATATTGACCAATCACAGTCAAGTATGAAGAGAGTACTCAATTTCTTAAGGGCTTAAATTACCTATTGTAGATCGGGACTAAAACAAGATTGTGGTTCAAGAGTTACGTTTATGCTTTTTCAGATATTTTTCCCATTTTAGTTTACGTGACGCGTGTACACCATTCTTTACAAAATGACGTAAATATTATAAAGGATCCTATCCAGAAAGACAAGAGAAAATAATTGACCAATCGCATGTCATTATAAAGGCTGTTATTTGTATAAAACTGCGACTGAGAGGCAGAGAGAAGACTGAAGATGTCCCGCTTTTGCGTGAAAAGAGAGAACATACTAATATTTTTATATAATAAATTATTATTAATTAAATTATTTATATTTTTATTTATATTATTTATATTATCAGAGGGACATATGTATTACCCTCTGAGAACATTCATGGATATTGGCTTTGTAGTTCATATCCACGTTTTCAATGTCCATAGAGGGAGTATCGCTTTCAGGGATCACCTAAAAGCAGGCCATGACATTTCTCAGTCTTCTCTCTGCTAGAGGTGACTCTCTGTATACAATATATATTCTACGATCGTTTATTCCAAGAATCGTGGATTTTTGGCTCTCTTTTCTTCTCTTTTAATACTTATTAAATGTATATTTACTTCATTCTGATCGCAGAAAAAATACATAATACAGTTGTAAAATATAAAGAAAGATCTCGTACGTAGTTCATTCAAAGTATCAGTCTACTCAAGCGCGATTACGCGCAGTGGCGTCACAAGAGGCTCTCTTTTTCTCGCGAGAAGGCGTTGCTCGTACTCTTTTCAAGATCGCCGACGTTAAAAAGCGCGAAGCGGTAATCGAATCATTAGCCTTACAGATGATGTATACATGTATGTGTATGTAATATGCGTATAATGTGCGTTCGCGCAACGAATGCGGTGCTCCTGAAATTGCATTGAAATTAGGAAGATGCATTTACGCGGCGATTGAGTCGATCGTTGCAATCGCGGATAATGGGCAGAGTCGGCGCGTCCACAATCGTCACGAACGCTTAAGAATTCGTCGCCCATCACTGCAGGTTCGTATGTAATTGCGTCCGCAATGTTGCCAAAGAACGCGTTCAGGCATTCGGCTTGACGTTTGCGTCGAGTCGCACGAAATTGACAGGACGCGCGCAAACATTAACCTCCTCTCGAGGTCGCGCGTATGACGTTTACACGACGCTCGTTTACGATCGGCTGATACTCTGGTATGCCAGGCATTCCGTTTCCAACACACTCCACAAATCATGTCGCGGTATCGATAAGCTCGAGTATCGTGTTATCGGGGGGCGGAGGGAGCGATAGCGGATGAAACGCTTTCGCGCGCATCGAGGCCCGTCAAATTTCCCGAGGACATTAGCGAGTACGGTGTTCCCTTAATTACGGTAATACTTCAATTATAACGTTCAAATTCGACAATAAGTATTTTAAGTCATAATTCTCTGTGAAATGATTGCATTTATTTTTGCGATAAACTGGGTATCGTAACGCTTTAATTATCAATTTATTATCTCGCGAATTCTGAGTCACAGGAAATGATTCTAATTTTCTACAATTACGGGTTTCTTATTGGCAATACAATTTAGTCGACCATGACATGTAGCAATGTTGCATTAGCCGTGTGGGTGTATATGTATGTGTGCATATATAGAAATATGTATATGTATGTTATGTGTAATGATAGAACTGAAGGCCAAATTAATCTTTGCTACAAAGTTCAAAAATAGTTGCTCTCATCATTCGCTAAGCATACCAACTGTGTTATAATTTAGATTAAATTGTTTTTTCAAATAAATCAGACATGAAACATAATCTCTGATATCTTGTAGCGTGGTATTGATATAACTAATAAGTTATTTTAATTGTTTTTAATTGTTTTTTTAAATTGTTTTTAAGTGCTTAGATTAAGGATAGTTATTTAGATTAAATATAGTTGAAATTTATAAATGCAATATTATTCATAAGATATGTATTATAATTTGCAGGAATAATGTTGAACAGTATAACAAAACACATTTTACATTGCTGTCTGCTGCTCATAGTCATATTGGTATTTGAATTTGTGTCTGGTGGACTTCGATGGAACGCAGACCAAAAAGAAGAGATTGACCCATGGACACGATACGGCATTATTGGTGCAATCACTTTGTACCTGTTGCGTACAGTGACGTTTCTTTCGTTGCCTCAAGTTTTATTCAATTTTATAGGATTAACGATATACAATGCATTCCCTGATAAAGTAATCTTAAAAGGCTCACCTCTGCTTGCACCATTTGTTTGTATAAGAATAGTGACACGTGGGGATTACCCACATTTAGTGAAAACAAATGTGAAGAGAAACTTAGATAAATGTATAGAAGCTGGTCTTGAAAATTTCCAAATAGAAGTAGTGAGTGATAAACCAGTTGGTTTAATACCGCATCGTAGGGTACGAGAAGTAATTGTACCTTCAAATTATCGCACAAGTAGTGGTGCCTTATTCAAGGCTCGTGCTTTGCAATACTGCCTCGAGAATTCGGTAAATGAATTAGCTGATCATGACTGGATTGTTCATCTTGATGAAGAAACTTTGATGACTGAAAATTCCGTTCGTGGCATATTGAATTTTGTATTGGATGGTAAACATCAATTTGGCCAAGGATTAATCACATATGCTAACGAAGATGTTGTTAATTGGATCACAACATTGGCTGATAGTTTTAGAGTAGCAGATGATATGGGAAAGTTACGATTACAATTTACCATGTTCCACAAGCCATTTTTTAGTATGAAAGGGTCCTATGTTGTCACACAGGTAATTTTTAATCACATTTTACTAATTTAATTTATCAATTTTACAGACGTTTAAATTTCTTATAAAATATATTTTTCCCCCTCTCTTATATATATTTATAAAATATATAAAAATATAAGAGAGGAGGAAAAAATACATTTTATAACAAATTTAAACGTCTGTAAAATTGATAAATTAAATTAGCAAAATGTGATTAAAAATTAACTTTAGAAAATATTAAAACAGTAATAAATATATTTATTATTTTTATACATGTAAAATTTTTTATAAAATATGTATTATAGATGGGAGCAGAAAAGCAGGTTTCGTTTAATAATGGATTAGATGGATCCGTTGCCGAGGATTGTTTCTTTGCGATGAAAGCATTTTCTCAAGGATATACGTTCAACTTTGTAGAAGGCGAAATGTGGGAGAAATCGCCATTCACTCTATGGGATTTTGTACAGCAAAGAAAAAGATGGCTGCAAGGTATATTACTTGTTGTGCATTCCAAATCAATTCCATTAAGAAAAAAATTATTGCTGGGTATTTCATGTTACTCGTGGGTGACAATGCCACTTTCCACTTCTAACATTATCTTAGCCGGATTGTGTCCGATTAACTGCCCGCCATTGATCGATTTTCTATGCGCTTTTATCGGCGCCGTAAATATTTATATGTATGTGTTCGGAGTAGTTAAATCATTTTCCCTATACCGTTTTGGTGTTGCTCGATTTATGCTTTGTATATGCGGTGCATTGTCCACCATTCCGTTTAATATAATTATCGAGAACGTTGCTGTCATATGGGGCTTATTTGGTAAGAAACACAAGTTCTATGTCGTTAACAAAGAATATAGACCACCAGTGACTGTATGATGTGTCATCAGTTTAGAGCTCTTATCTAACTGGTGCATACTTAGCAGCAGTATAAAGTTTCCATTGTGCATGCGCATAATTAGTACCTGTAAATTTACATAGAAAAACATCATCATCACAAATAAAATATTTATAACTAGTATTATATAGGAATTACAAAATTTCTATGATAAATGGAGCAGAAAATTTTATGCAAAGAAAGATATAAAGTAACATAACAATAGATGTAGCTCCAGTATTAAAAACATATTCTGCGTTGGCATTAGAGCATTGCGCCAAATCTCTATTAAAAGTACTTGTCATTTATTAAAAATATATTTATGCCAATATCTTGTTCTCAGTACAAGTCATACATGTCATGTGTATTTTTGATCTCATGTAAACATGTTTAGCATTCATTAAGTTAAATTATTTACATGTTCCTCCTTTCGTGTTAAATTTATACATATCTTTACATATTTTAATGTAATTTTTAATATCACTGATACTTGTCGTGTTCAGAAATATTTTATCTTTGCCATATTTCAGTATTTTTTTTTTTTTTCTTAATATTGCCTCATGAAGTGTTATGCATATTGGTAACAATTTCATATTGATAATTTCTGAAATATTTAGATTATCTTACTTAATAGCAACAAGTCTTATACATTATTATAATTCAGGAACCTGTGATAAATTTTGTTTCGCCTAACTTTTTTATACTTCAGAAAAATATACAAACTTTTATTAATCGTGCGTAAAAACACTAATTTAAAGAATGATGTAATAAAAATTACGAAATAATTTATTTTCTTTATATCCGGATATTTAATGGTTTTATAAAATGTTTTCAATTTTATATATTTTATAAATATAGATCTTAATTAATGACAATATAATATAATATATACTAATTATATTGGTTTATAATTCCAATATGATTAGTATGTGTGTGTATAAGTACTTAAGTATATCTTAATTATTACGAAGAAATAACATCTTTAAGAATATATATAAATATATATTTATCTCTTTTTTCTTCTCTTTCTGAAACTTCTCTTTCTAAAACTAAAAACTCATATGTATCTTCTAAAATAAATTTAATTTTAGTATTTTAAATATTAAAATATTTATATGAGTAAATTTTCATATACGAAAAAATTAAGGAAATTAGAAAAGAGAAAAAGAGAGAAAAAATATAAAAATTTTTAAATCTAAACAAAGGAAATTTTAACTTTAAAGCTATTAAATTTCTTTTTACATATATATGATTATAAATTAAACTATATCTTATATTAGTAGTTTTCGCGCGACATCTTTGAAAAAAAAATGATATTAGATACAATTGATATTGAAAACTTAATGTGATTTTGTTATACAATGCATAATATTTTATTTATTAAATTACACATAGAAAAATAATCATCATTCATGAACACACATTTAAAATATCATTTTGTCACAATAATACATTTTTACAAAACATTTTAACAAAACATCTGTATCAATATTTTTTGGTTTTAATATTTACAATAATGTATCTATTACATAAATAAATTTGAAAAGTTTATTTATTTAATAATCAAGTTAGTGCTTCCCGCATATACATACATATAATACACAGAGCATTAAATTTATAACATAAATTATATAATGTTTTTTTAGAAATTTAAAAACCTTTTTTTATGATTTATGATGATATGGAATGGACTTAGAATAACAAAGCAATATATTTAGCAAGACTTATTATATCTAGTCAAGAAGATATAAAAAATATTGAAAGGCACGAAAATTTCTATCATAATATGCACGTATAAATAAATAATATAAACCTGCTAACACACTGTGTTACTGCAATATTGAATATAATTATTTTCAAATATTTTATTTCTAATAAGATTATAATTTTAAAGAGATTTGGAAATTTTTAAAATTTCAATTTTTAGAGATCTGCAAAATTTCTTCAGTCTTATAATTAAATTTTATTAAATTTTTTTCATAAGGCAACGGTATATAAATAAATTGTGCAGCTTTAAATTACTATATTCAGCATTAATATAATTAATATAATTCAGCATTAATATAATTAATATTATAATAATACAAAGATCACGATAATTTCATAATTTCAAATATTATACACACATTTTCCATATAATTATATCTTAGTAAAATTAATTACTATAAAACTACTATAATCATATTGTTTCATATTGATTATAGCAATTATAAGCTATCTCTCTGATTGCATTCGATTATATAATTTTATTGCATAATATTATTATATAATCATAAATTGAGCATATTATGTTGCGTCTCATATATATGTAGAGACATTATGTAAGATATTCAAATGAATTACATTTTTTTAAGTATTTTATTGTGTCACATGAAAAATGAACAAGCACATTTGTACGCTAGTCTCATATTTCAGCCATTTATTTACAGCATTCAAACAGTAATGTTAGTATAAATCAAACATAAAGATTATAAATGCGAAGAAATATAATTTATATTATTTTGGATAAATAAATGTAAAACCAGAATTTCCCAATTTTATAATTTAAATCTATTTTCAATATTAGTATTTTTTGCTTCTGCAGATATTATTTTCAAGAGAGAGAGAAAGAGAAGAGAGAGAGATCATGATATAAATAAATATATAAAAGAATTTACAATAAAACTATGAGAGATTATCTTGGAGTAAGCTAAAAATTTTTTATTTGCAATTTTATTATAAAATTATTTAGAACTTATTTAAAACTTATTTAAAATTTATTCTCTTCTATTATATTCTTCTCTAAAATTTAGTTTATTTATTATATGTTATCTATGTTACATGTGTTATCTATTTATTACATATGTAATGACTAATTATAATTTTGAGAACTTCTGGATTATGGATTAATTAAATATGAATCAAATTATACGAAGAGATACAGTTTTATATCACGAAAGATAATAAAAGTAACTTATTGTTTTTTAGCATAACTATTTTCATTCAATTGTCTTGAAATGTTACATCATGTTGGAACTTGAATGTTTTATCCGAAATGATTTTATTTTCACATCATTTGTCATGCACTAATTAATTTTGCGTCTTTTTTTAAATGTATAACATTTCTTGTTATATAGTATAGTACAATATACTAGGCAGCGAAATTTATAGTATCAAATTAGAATCATTGTAAAATTTTGGATTGTTATGATAATTACAGTTGCTGCATTAAATTAAGGAAAAATATTAGATAGTTCATATATATTGAGAAAAATATAAAAAGGAATTAAAAGTAAGTCATTACTTTGCAATAAATGTATGCATTTTTATCTCCTAGATTATAAAGTAATTTTCACTGTTTTTCAATACTATTTTATCTGACGCGTGACATACTCCTCCAAAAATAAAATTTATACAAAAAAGTTCAGAAATTTATGTGTTAACAGATTCTCATTGAGAATATATTTACATCTGTTTATAATTATGGGTTGAATTATACTATTACGAAGATTTATTAAAAAAAGTGAAACTGAATTTTCTTGTATTGATTTTGTTTGCATTATTTTGTTATTTGTATTATTTATAAGTTTGAAATGCAATTACACAGTTCCGTAAATAAGTAAGATTCTTTATTATTTATCGTCTCTTTATTATACGTATTATCTACTAATAATCACTTATATATTTATTCGTGATTTTTTTTAATGACAAAATGTTATCACATAATGACTTGCCAGTATTTTGTGGAATTGTAATCAACTATTATTAATTGTCATCGTTTTAGACTTACAAACAACATATTTCCAGTTATATCTGGCTATATTGTGCTATGACGCATTATTATGATAGGATTATTATAAGAATAAATATATATAATATAATATATGTGTGTATATAAATGTGTGTACTTTTAAATATGAGACGTGCGCATGCACTGTTTATAATGACGTTTACAATATTTGCTTCCCACTCCATATATCCATAGACATAAAATATATAGGGAGCTTACCAGCAAGAAAATAGATATAATGTCTCTTGCATAATTGGTTGTGAAATGAAAAATTTTTAAAGTCCCGAGAATTTTTCTACTTGCGACAGCCAATCGTGTCTTTTGCCAGAAAGCTCCCTAAATAAGATACGTAGCCAATCATAGACTTGGAAATGTCTACACATGGAGTATATAAATTCTATGAGTATGCTCATCTACTCGTATTTGATAACAGTACGAGAAACGATTTATCTCACAAGTGATACAAATATTTTGTAAGCGCATTAAGGTGCGGCCTCATTGACGCTAAAAAGTAGCGTCAACCATTGGTTGAACAAAGAGGTAAGTATAGTTGCTTCATTGTTCAACCAATGGTTGACGCTACTTTTTAGCGTCAACCATTAGTTGAACAAAGAGGTAAGTATAGTTGCTTCATTGTTCAACCAATGGTTGACGCTACTTTTAGCGTCAATGAGGCCGCATCTTAAAGGTGCGGCCTCATTGACGCTAAAAAGTAGCGTCAATCATTGGTTGAACAAGGAGGTAAGTATAGTTGCTTCATTGTTTAACCAATGGTTGACGCTACTTTTTAGCGTCAATGAGGCCGCATCTTAAGGTGCAATTTCATTGACGCTAGAAACCAGCGGCAAATTAAAATCACTAGACTTTCTCTAGATATGGCGTCAATAAAATAAAGTTCAAACAGCTTCAACTTTTTCAGTGTGTAAAGCGCTACTTTTTAGCGTCAATGAAATTGCACCTTAACAGTTGGCAGCCCTACGAGATAGGCTGTGCAGCACTGCGCGTATATAAAATAAATTTGAAATCGCTTCTAGCCTAACCATCTTCACGCGATCGACTTTATTTGAATTGCATGGCATCGCATCGAATTATGATGCGGCGCCGATTTGTTCGAACATAATTCGGGACATCGCGATGCTGTATAAGCGTCGAATGAGCACGAATTGTCACGCAAATATGATAAATCACATCTACTCACCGTTCACCGGCTGTTCCACAGGCCGCTCCACTCGCTCGCCTCGGGACGTCCCATTCCGATCTTGATGCACACGATATCATCAACGCGAACGCGCGACACTTTATTTGGCACTCCCGATATTCGCTCGCATCCGATAATCATCATCAAGGGCGCAAATAACGCGACGCGACTTCGCTCCATCTTCGCGATCGCGCTATCACTGAACTGTGAAAAATAGCTGTCGCGCACTTTCACCGACATATTATGAAAGTCGCGCGATCATCCTTGGACACTTTCGACGCTCTTTCACTCGCGATATTCGTTTAAAAACGGTTAAAAGACGCGAAAAATGCGGACGTACGACGATCCGTGTAACTGCGTATGACTCCGATTCACGTATGACGCGTATGACGTAGCTATGACGCGTATGACGAAGCAGTCACGCGCCAACATGGCGGCCAAACCAGTGCGCAGAAACGAATGCGCACTGGTTCGGCCGCCATGTTAGCGCGTGACTGCTACGTCATACGCGTCATACGTGAATCGGAGTCATACGCAGTTACACGGATCGTCGTACGTCCGCATTTTTCGCGTCTTTTAACCGTTTTTAAACGAATATCGCGAGTGAAAGAGCGTCGAAAGTGTCCAAGGATGATCGCGCGACTTTCATAATATGTCGGTGAAAGTACGCGACAGCTATTTTTCACAGTTCAGTAATAGCGCGATCGCGAAGATGGAGCGAAGTCGCGTCGCGTTATTTGCGCCCTTGATGATGATTATCGGATGCGAGCGAATATCGGGAGTGCCGAATAAAGTTCGCGCGTTCGCGTTGATGATATCGTGTGCATCAAGATCGGAATGGGACGTCCCGAGGCGAGCGAGTGGAGCGGCCTGTGGAATAGCCGGTGAACGGTGAGTAGATGTGATTTATCATATTTGCGTGACAATTCGTGCTCATTCGACGCTTATACAGCATCGCGATGTCCCGAATTACGTTCGAACAAATCGGCGCCGCCGATAATTCGATGTTCATAATTCGATGCGATGCCATGCAATTCAAATAAAGTCGATCGCGTGAAGATGGTTAGGCTAGAAGCGATTTCAAATTTATTTTATATACGCGCAGTGCTGCACAGCCTATCTCGTAGGGTTGCCAACTGTTAAGGTGCAAATTCATTGACGCTAAAAAGTAGCGTCAATGAAAAGGCCGCTTTACACACTGAAAAAGTTGAAACTGTTTGAACTTTATTTTATTGACGCCATATCTAGAGAAAGTCTATTGATTTTAATTTGCCGCTGGTTTCTAGCGTCAATGAAATTGCACCTTTATTTTCTTGTAATTATAACGCTGTTTTATATTCGAATGATCGACATTTATGTACGTATAAACTGTTAATACGATACTCAAGACAATGACTTCAAAAATGTGTAAGAAGGATGTTTTGCAAGCTGTCATTCTTGCGGATGATTTTACAACAAGTCTGACTCCATCGCAAAATATATTCCCGAGCATCTTGATGCCGGTAATAAATGTACCGCTGTTCGACTACATGCTCGAAACGTTGATAAAATCTAGAATACAAGAAGTGTTCCTTTACTGTAGCAGTCATATTGATCTACTAAAGGAATATGTAAAGGTAAAGAATTACAAAGGAACTGCAATATCTCTGATCATCTCGGATGGCTGCAGCTCTCTTGGAGATGCTTTGCGAGACATTGATACAAAAGGTTGGATAAGAGGTTATTTTATATTAATTCGTGGAAACACATTTGTCACCGCGGATCTTAAATCTCTACTCAATGCGCATTGCTTGAAAGTTGAGAAAGATAAAGGTGCGACTATGACTATGGTATTACGGAACTTGGGTTCAACGAAGAATTCTTACATGAGTGAGGAAGCCTCTTTGGTTGTATCAGATAAAAGCAGCAATAAAATGCTGTATTATACAAAATTAAAGAATAGTGAGAAAAAAGTTAAGTTGGAGTTAAACTGGTTTCTTGATCATAGTGAAATAGAGCTCAATACGTGCTATTTAGACACTCATATTTATTTGTGTTCACCATCTGTTTTACCACTCTTTGCTGATAATTTTGACTTTCAGGTAATCAATTAGTTTTTTTAATATAAAATATTAAATTTTACATAGTTATCTTTAATTGCAATATGCAATGTACATTAATAATAAAACAAATATAATTTATCATATTGAAATGTTCTCTTTAGACTATGGATGACTTTATTCGAGGGGTATTGATGAATGAAGAGATATTGGACTCAAGAATTTATTGGCAGCAGTTAGATGTAGAAGATTATGCTTTGCCAATTACATCATGGAAAGCTTATCATATGCTTACGCAAGATATTTTACGTAGACACAGTTTTCCCCTGGTGGCAGATGCTTTCTCTTCATTAAAGAACTTTATATACATGCCACAGAGCACATACAAACACGAAACTGCTCTTGCTAAGGGTTGTGTACTGGAAAAAGACTGTATCCTTGGACTTAACAGTGCATTAGGAAATAATACTAAAGTTGCAAGATCTGTAATTGCAGACCATTGCATTATAGGTAGTAATGTTAATATACGTAATTCCTATATCTTTTCAAACGTTAGAATCAAGGATAATTGCACTATTGTGAACAGTATCTTGTTTCCAAATTGTATCGTCAGGTATGGTAGTCAAATAGACGGATGTATATTATGTCCTGAAATTGATGTCGCTGCTCGTAGTCAATACATTGATATAATCGTCGAATCTCAATCCTCTGGTGTATCTAAGACTAAAATGTTAGAACTCGAGGTTAATGATGAATTTTTGTACTTTAAGAACAACAAACTAGCCGAATGTGATAATTGTTCCACAGAATCGTCTAGTAGCGAAGAGGATTCTGAACGTGATTCACCGATTCCAGACGACACGAATATGTTCTTGTCCGAAGTTATCGATAGTCTGTTACGTGGTTATCAGGATAAGCTTAACTGCGAGAATTTAATTCTAGAAATAAACTCTTCGAGATACGCATACAATGTCACCATTCGTGAGGTGACGTACAATGTCATTAAAGCGATTCTCAGTTTGCCTCTACATTATCTCGCCGAAACGAAAACTCCCGTTAATAGCCAGAACTATCAAAAGAATCTAAAAGCCATCATTACTTATTTCAATCCCATTATATTGAATTATGTTAAGAATGAAAATGCGCAAGATGATTGTTTACGCGCTATAGAGGACATTGCTAGTACGACCGACGAATTGCTGCCATATACGCAACACCTGTTGAATCAGTTTTACGATCGCGATATACTGTCGGAAGAGAAAATCTTAGAATGGTATGAATCCACTAGCGAGGATGCGGATGTGTTTCACAGTAAAGTTAGAAATGCCGTCCAGCCATTCATTAAATGGTTGCGAGAGGCGGAGGAAGATTCTACCGAAAGCGATAACGATTAAGAGATATTCTATCTTTATAAAAGATCGACCTACTGTAAAGTAAAACAGCTATATGAGTAAGAAAACTGTATATATAATGCACATATAATATATGAAATGCATTACCCAGGTAGCAAGATGTCTAAAGACATCATTTGACATTCTGCTACTAGGGTAAAAGTACAAATACAATTGTAATCGGGGAATACTTGTCTTTATTTCTCGTATCAATCTTTTTATTTTATTTTATAATACTTGATTTTATTGAGCAACGATAAATAACGCGGTAAATCGTTAATCCGCGCTAAATACACCATTTCGTATGCATACATGCGTGCGTGACGTCGATAAAGCCCGCATGTTTCGTGCGTGTTTAAGCTTGACCTATTCTAGTTCGCTGAGACGAAGCTTATTATTCCATAGGCACGTCCATCTCCGCCAAATTGTGCCACGCCAAATGACGATGATCCGGAAATTTGATTGCGTCTATCCAATGCCGCAAACGCGCCCCTTTACTGCTACAACCCAACATGAGGCCGCCTAAAATATACGTGTCAAACACACGTCAAACACATACGCAAGTAGTTTATTTGATTAATACAAATAGATTAATAAAATATGAATGAATTTTTTATTATTGATCAATATTAGTTGTTTAATGTTAAAACATTGAAATTGATTGAGATTGAAACTGATATTTTTTGAAATTCTAATAATATTGATTTATTTATCACAACTATGATGAGAAGAGTCGCTATTTCTCACTTATTAAAATAATAGGGGATTAAATTAATATAATATATACATATAGTAATTTTAAATTAAATTCTGATTACAAACATATAATTAATTTGTTAATTCAAGCAGGATTGTAACTCATACTTTTTAGATTGCACATTTTCAAAGTAAACTCTAAAATTCAAAAAAGACACGGGATAAAATAATTAACAATAGCTCATATTACCTAAATAATCGTTACTCTTGCCGAAGTCCTTGTCCCATACAGAGAGACATAGCGTCAGCTTCATCAGCTCCGTCAAGCGAGTCGCGAAAACGAACTCTTCGTTCCACTCTGGGTTCAGCGTCTTGCGTTTGATGCTCGTGCTCTGCGAGTTGCGGCCGGCCGTTTTCTTCAGCTTCTTGGCAGTAGCGCGAGCGGTCGAGAAATCTAGGAACCGTTGCTGCCGATGATTGTCGGTCGCATCCTCGACGAGGGCCAGCTTGACAAACGGGTCAGAAAACCCGTTGTTGTCCATGGGCAGGAGATTCGTAGCGCGGTGTACAGTGACCAGCAACGCACGTCGACGCGTACAATAGCTCAGGCTTATCTGTATCTGTCCGCGTCCGCTTGAACACATGCCCCAAATTTCCTCTTCGTTGTCTACCTGCATTAAAATAATTAATCTACTACATGTACGCTGATGAAATGCTAATTCGTTTACCTTGTTATTTCGGACTCCATAGGTTGTAACATTTATTTTATAAATAGTTAATGCTTGATCTCGTGTTTAAATAAAGTATTTGCTTTCGTCATAAAATATAGTTTTATGCAGAAATTCATTATATAAATTTATTTAAAAAAATTTTAAAACTTTTATTTTATGACAATTTAATTCACTAGATTTTTCAAATTTTTAAATTTTATACAATTTTCTCATGAAATCAAAATCAATAATATTAACATTCATTTGTGCTCATATATATATGATAGAACAATTTTTAGAAATATAATTTAGAAAAATTCTTATAGATACTTTCTATGAATTATATTGAATTTTTGAAATATTAAGAGATTCTTCATTGTACTTTTTTTTACTCAACATACCGGATAATGAGCCTGCAGAGGAACCTTGTAATGTTTCGTTTGGTATGGTTGTAATTCGTGTAGAGGAAATTTCGCCTCTCCCAGAAAGTCTTGGCCCGATGGGTCGTCCTGGATGATTAAAATGTGCAACACTTTGCCACTCGAGATCTAGCAGGAAAAAAATTTTTAATATATATTTCGCGTGAGTAGATTGATTGATATATTATGATGATTGATCTATACATCGGTTTCTGTCGTCCCGTAGAAATTCACCGTCTCGTTGAACTCGGGGTCGCGCGTCTTGTGTACCGTTTTTGTTCGCAATCGACTGCTTGTCGCTACCTTTTCGACGGGCAATATATTCAGCTTGCAAAAAGGATCCGCGAGGCCTTGGATGTCCATAGGTATTAAACGACGTGCACGTTCCACTTTGCACTGGAGGCACTGATCGGCCGGGTCGTATCGCAAGGAGACTTCGAGAGTCCCATAGTCTTGTCCCGTCTCTGTTTTTATATCAATATTTAATTTAAAATTTCGTTTAAATTAGGATAAATTATTAGTTTTTTATTGTTATAGCACAGTTCTTTTATGATTGTTCTTTTACTATTAAAATTTTACATTTCTCGTATAATATTTCCAGTAGATTAAATCTAATAATACCTTGATAAGATTATCAAGGTATTATTAGATTATATATTATAGATTTCAAATATAAATTAATTTAAAAAGGAAATTTGTTATTTGCACTCGTTAATAAACTAAAACTTTCTTATGATTTATAATACTAAAATCATTTAGAGTTTTTCTTTACAAAAACTACTTCAAAAGTTTTGACAAAATGTTCATCAATATATACATTCTTTTATTAATAATTTTATAATATAAAACACATAATCAACATTACTGAAAGTATAATATGTATTTAAAAAATTTGTAAAAAATATAATATCAAATTATTTAAAATTGCTGAAGCCCAATAATCTCATAATTTATTTTAGTACTAGTAAGATGATTTTTGACCTTTTGGGTATTCCGGGGTTCTTGATGCCTTGATTTGGCTGTTGCTGCGAGTCCCGCTGGAAGAGCTGTCCTGAGTCGAGCAGGATTTGTTCGCATCCCGTTCCGTATTTCTTTCGAGAATCTTGCTCATAGTCTGAAACCGCTTGACCGGCGTGGTCGGCGTCATGGGGGACATTGTTATCGTCGGTGTCTTCAGTCTGTTCAGGGTGGCGATTCCTCGTATAAGTTCAAACCTCCACCCCGCTCGTCATCCTTACTTACCTGAGAGATTGTACCTGAGTGCTCTTCGATCGATCCAGGGAGGTAGTAGCGTCCTTGAGATTACTCGAGTTTTCACTATCCTCTTCTTCATCATCGTCGGCTTCGTTGGCCTTTTCGTCGTCGACGAAAATGTTCTCGAAAGACACGTGTTGCTCGGTCTGCAGGCCACTCGGACTCCTGCCGCTCGTCCTTGATCGAGGGGTGCTGATTGAGCCCGTGGGCGAAAGTCGGCTACATTGTGATGCGATCGACAGACAAGACTTGTCCAGCCTGTCGGAACCGGCATCCTCGCGGTATCCCGAAGGCGATAGACCGTTTGGCCTTCCTCGAGGACTTTTCGGCGATGAGGTGCTGGTCGCGGGACTAGAAACCGTCAGTTTGGTAGGGGTGCCTTCTCGATTGCTCGATAGATTTGTTGGCGAGATGGAATGACCGCGAGTTACCGCGAGTCGTCGCGTTGCGTCATCGTCGGACGAAGAGTCCTGGGCATCGGTTGAATCTAAAGATCTGCTTATTGTCCATGTCGACGTCCTGTGACTAGGTCGAGACCACCCGCGTTCCTAATATGTAACGTTTTATATTATTATTTATCGATGAAGATCTCAGAGTTTAAATTTATCGATGATATTGTATTAATATTTCCATCAACTCATAGAATATTTTTAGAATATTTCATAGAATATTTTTTACGGTTGAATAATTAACAACATTTGATTCGATTTGTTGCATTCATTAATATTGATAGGAAACTAGCAGAAATGAGCGCAATGTGTTAGTATGGCTACCGAAAAAGAGAAAACAAATATTTCACACATGTAACACATATATATGTCAATATGAAATCAGTGAAACTCGAGTGCCACGTGCATGGATAGATAGTGTTCGATTTCTGTCATATGTAAAACAAGCTTTACGGGAATGTGGTTGCAATGTATTCCAATATCCTGATTGTATCTGCGCTAGTGACGTGTATGAAGACTCGATGGATAAGCAAGAGAATGATCTAATTCTAATCAATTTTAATTAGTTGAAACTATTTTAAGATCTAATTTTAAGATCAGATATTCGAATATTTTAAATAAGTTTTGAATCTCATTGTTTTATAAAAGAAATCATAAAATAATATAAAAAAACATTCTAATCTTGTAAATCATTAAATCATTTAAATCAATATTTGAAATTTTTTTTAAATCAGTAAGATTAAAATAATTTTTTTAATATGGAATTGCCAACAAAATATTTTTAAAAATGACCTATATGAAATAGAAAAAAAACTAGATTTGTATAATTAATTTAATTTGCAGTATATCAGTTTTTCAGCCTTTCATGAAATAAATTTATGTTGTGGAATTTTTCACAGAACATGATTTAATTGAAATGCATGATTAAATTTAAATAATTTTTTTTTTAATTCAAGTGAGATAATATTTTTTAGATAGAAAATAATTTTCGGTGCGTCAACAAGTAAGAGAGATAATTAAAATCTTTTTCGAATGTTTAAATTTAGCCGAAAATATAAGTATAGTATAGTTAGTATATATGCAATATAAAGAAATCCTTTTTTTTCTATACCTTCTTTTCTGGTAGGATATATTTTGGCATGCCTTTGAAAAACCAAGCGCCGCTTTTCTTCCACATCTCTCTAGTCTCGGCACAAATCCGGCAGAGAAACTGCTTCTGCGCGTTGCCATGGGATCTTTGAACGATTCTTTGTACGGCCATTCGTTCCTGAGCAATTCTCATGAGACGCAACGAGCTGCGCGATGAAGCGGTCGTGTCGTTTCTGTCGCCGCTCCCTTTCGGCAGATTAAGCCTCGTGGCCTCGATACCGCACTTCTGGCAGATGTACCTGTGGCAGTCCTTGCAGAGGTTTGCGCTCGCTCCCAGCACTGTGCCAAATTTTTCGCCGCAGAGCGCGCACGAACAGACGCAACGGGCTCCACCGGAGCATCGGCTTCCACAACCGCGTCTCTCGTTCGACCTAGTCGACGTCACGATGCACACGTTCCTCTTCATGTTCTCCAGCCTCTCGACGAGTCTACCGACTCGCTCTTGCTCTGATAGATCCAGAGCCTCGGCTCTTTGAATCACCTATAGAAATCAACCATCAGTTGGAATCAAAAATCGAAGTCTAATTCTGATAGAATCGTTCAAAAGATTCTGTTCAACACGATGCTTCCTTTCTGAGAATTTAAAGATTAGATTATGTAAATCTAATTTTTTCAGTTGTATGAAATTTATTTATTCAAGGTTTTAAAAACCTAGACGAGATTATCAAGCTTTTCAATTTTTTATTTATGCTGCGCAATACATTTCATGCTAATTACATATTTCATAAAACGTATTGTCGCAAATAAATATAATATAATAAAGAATCCATTTCTATTAGAATATATCGAAGTGACGTTGTTTAATAAATTTTAATTTTGCTTGAAACTATAATTATTAACAAAATTATTAACATGATTTTGCGGTTTGAAGATGAAAGGATTAAAGTTATCACATAATCGAATAGATTAAAGAGAAACGTGATTATACTACAGACACTTTTAATTACAGAGAAAAGAGCCTTGGAATTATTTAATATCCATATAAATAATCTGGAAACCCCACGGACATTCTTTTGAATATATTAAATATAATACATATTATTTGCTTAATCATTAAATATGGATGTAAATCATCATATCGCTTTACATCAATTATTTCAGATTAATGCTTGATATAATCCCAAAATGCTTGTTATAATTCCAAATAATAAACATAGTTATTTCGTTTAATGTAATATAATATTTCGTAATGTTGCGAAAGTATTTAGTTTTATCATGTATCAATAATTTTATCATGTATCAATAACAGAGTCGAAAGAAAAGTTTGAATAATATATTATGAATTGTGTCGCTTTATTATGAGAGACGTTTACCTGAATAATACTTTGTCGTTCATCTTCACTAAGTAAAAAGGGTTGTCCGCAACGATTGGAACCACTTATATAAGAATTTGGATATTCTCCCCATCCATGAGATTCAAAAGATCCCGTTTTCACAGACCATCCTGTTCGCAATCTGTATAAATTCAATTATTTATTACATATGTATGTATATTGCATATATAAATTATTAAAATTTATTATTTATAAATATTTTATAATTTATTTGCAGTATATAATGGACATTATATTCTCTACAAACATATTTCTTATAATAAAACTTATTCGTGAGACAGATCTAGATGTGTCAATTTACAGATAATTTTTTGTGATGTGTTTTTTTATATTTTAATGAATTCTAGATACGTTATAATTAATAAAAATACAAAACGTTACTTTTTATAAATGCTTTTTTATATATTTAGAGATTGAAACAAATTTTTACATTAATTTCTGTAACGTAAATTTATTAATAATTTGTGATTGCTTTTTTGACTAATACTTGATAAATATTATAAAATCATTGAGAAGAATATTCTTTCCTAACTTTTTTTTAAAAGAAAAAGAAAGAGATAGAAACAAAGCTGAATAAAACGTATCAAGGTCAGATTTTGAGAGTTTACTTTTTATATCCAACAAATAATCTCTTTAAATTCAAGTATTACTCCAAATTTTTGAAGTTTCTTCGAAGGGTAAAATAATCTCTTCATCGATCACGATGATTTTACTCTAAAAAATGTCAAAGAGTGATATCCTACACAATTTTTTTCTGAAAAGAATTTTTCAGTATAAATATAATCCAATAGTTTAAATTTTCTTAACAGATCCTTGATAAAATTTAGCATATTGATATTTTCAATTAGTGAAATTTTTAAACTTTAGTTAAATTATTTGTTATTTGTAGATTTTATCGATTTTACCATTTCTTGGCTGTTTTTTATAAATCGTAAAATATTTCTTTCTTACATATTATTAAAATAATTTCTAAAAATTTCATTGTATGCTACATGCTTCTATAATTGTAATAAATTGAATATCGCGTATACATATAAACATAAATTATTTTATATAGCATAAATTATTTTATATAGCACTAGTACACTAATAAATAATAAAATATAACAAAAAATGTAATATATATAACGTTATTTTTGTCAAATTGTAAAAGTTAGAAACATTAAACTACAATTTATATAAAATAAAATTAAAAATATATAACTTTTATATCAAACATATTTTATATATATTTTGGCAATATTTGTTCCAGATCAAAGAGTTATTTCAGTCCTGAAATATATTTGAGAAAACATTTATTTAAAAAATTGTCTTTTACATTTTTATCTATTTTACATGTCACAAAAATACTCTTTTTTTTATTAGATATGAGAAAATTGTTTGAATTCGCATATTTACTTATAGGTATTGGCTTTTACTTTGAAAATAATATGCTAAAAATAAATTTTTGAACTCACTTTGCTCGCAACGCCAAATGCCGATCGTTCGGACAAACCCACCTGCCGCCTCGTGTTATTCGTTCATCCATTTCACTGGAAGTTATTTTATTTGTATCGTATCGTTTATTTTAATTGCTTTGCGCGGAATTTCAGTCTGTCTACAACAATAAAGATATGCGATCTACAAATATTTAAATATGCACAGTTTACAAGACTATTTTTGTATTGTTTTTGTGTTGCTTCTGAAAAAAATTTGTATTATATTTGTTAATTTATATTAACGTTAAATGCTATATTAATGTTATTCTAATTTTAAAAATTGCTTATGTTATATAAAACATTATATTATTAACATCACATTATTATATAATACGTGTTATATTACATTGTCTTTAACTAATAATTAGACAATCATATTTAATATTAAATATGAAATATGAATACTAGATTTCTAGTTATAGATTTAGATCAAATTTATATACATATAATAAAAAAATAAATTGCTGCATTATGTTGCAATTAAAAATATCATCATTTTTCTAATATAGCTTTTCTAATATAGCAATATTTTATCTAAAAACCAATGTAAAACGATATAAAGAATACAAGAAAAATTATGAGTAAGTCATTAAAATTACATTAAAATTAATCACTAACCTTTCATTTGATAACTATCATTTGTAGAAAAATATCATAGTAGTTGGAAGCCGCATGAAAACTTTGTCCTTTTCCCAAGCAAATTGAAATAGCACTTAGTGGGTTCCTCTGCGACATTAATTGTTTTTTCTTCAAACACAATTTCGAATTCAATTAAGAATATGTAAATAACAAAGAATATGTATTTTATGTGTATATGTTTCTTAATAATATTTTTATTTACATCTTCTATTTATATATTTTGTATTTCTTTTTATAATTACCAAAACCATTTGATATGTAGTCAGTTTAATTCTTTTTTAATATTTTTATCATAAGCACAATAAAATTTATTTAATAGAACATAAGCGTATAGATTTAATAATGATGAATCTATAACGATGGATATATATATTTTTTTTCCATTTCAGGCTAAATCTTTTTTCTTTGAGACTTTTCTTTTTCTTTTAAGAATAATTTCTTGGGTAACATTTAGATAAAATATAAATAATTATAAAATATAAATATAACTATGTAAATAAAATAAATTTTTCACAATACACACATAAATTTTTCACAATACACATACATGCACACGTAGTTTATATGGGATAGCATAGAAACTCATGCTGAAATAAGCTTAGTAACGGCACTTATATCATTTCCCTATGGATATTTCGTAATTAAATAGAAATTCTAATTTCGTGTTACAATGTAATCCAACTCGTCAACTGCTCCACCATGTATGAATATTAACGTGTCAAGTTTGTGCGCGCATATCGATATTTATATATCGTGAATTATTATCTTTCTTCCGTCTCCTAGCTTCGGCGATATCAGCTGAAAAAGATTTTCGGGCGTGGGAGTTGTACATCGCCCACGTTCTCTCACTTATTTTCCTGCTTGATCTAATTTTTCTATCCTGCTGAGCCTTGAAAAATGAGAAATATTCAGGGAACGACGATAGGAACATGCGACCGGGTATGCACTGCGAATCGGAAATCTGGTATCGCCGGCCACAAACATGGCTCCGAAATGCTTCCGCACAGCGATATTATCGCATTTCGATAATAATGGGTTTTGCTTGCGAGTTGTCACATATTTATCGGATTTTTAGGGTAAAATGGAAGAAACATGATATTCATGTGAGTCACAACAAACGGAACGATATGACATTTTCGTTTATTTTAAGAAAAAAAATCAATATATACTTAAAAAGATTATGATTTCTCCTTTCTTCTTTTCTATATTTTATTTTAATAATTTTTTCTACATTTTTATAAAAAAAAAACATTCAAAATTTTATTTAACATGTAATAATTTTGCACAGAAATGTATAAATTTCCTCTTTTTATTGGCTTATACGGTTTATTCAATCAGGGATTCTTATATATTGCAATGTGTTGACATATGTCGGCAATATTGGTTTTTATAAGAAAACTTTAAGTCACCCGATATATAAAGAATTTATGTGAAAACGTAGGAAATAATGTGTGTTATGCTTTTGTCAAGGTAAGGCGAATACAAGAAAAATATTTTACACGAACTTTGTTCACCTTGCTCGAACTTAGTTCGAACTTCAACTCACGAAGTAGTATAAATCGATGATTGTCTTTCCAGCGCAACATTGGTATTATATTATCAGATATATAATATTCGTATCAATTCTTTTAAATAACTTTTGTGTCATTATTTACTTCATTGTTTTATGATGTTGTAATGTTAGCAAAGTAAAGTTGGCTTTGAATATAATCTTTATATACTCATAATACGTATATGCAAATTGTTTGTAATGTCTGTTATCGTTAATAAAGGTATTTCAAAGATATACGCACTGACATATATCTTGATTCAAAGGCAGCTTACCTATTGTTAAATTACTTTAATAATGCATTACTGCAGGTGACTTTGAAATCACTGCCTTCTCAAACAATATCATCAATATGAAATTATAATTACTAAAAAATAGATAGGAGTATTAAGTCTTGTTTTAAAGTCTTGTTTTAAATGAAACGTGTTTGATATGCTTTAATTAACTCATTAATATAAATTACATTGTTTACAATTACAAATTGCTAATGCGTGCACGCGTGTGATGGAAGAAAAGAAAAGACTCCACAATTTTCTATAGTATATGTGCTAGAATCTTTCGTGCTCGGTACGTACGCATAAATCGTATAAATGCAAATTGGCGAGATGCAAGTTCCTGGGGAAAATTCAATAAACTCGTCGCGCCGTCTTACTATCTACTACCATTGTTCATCGCGCGCGCGACACGCTATCATATGGTTCACCGCGGTAAAGGGAACAAAGGAACTTTCAACGAAAGTGGCTATATTTGCTCCGGAGAATCGATACTCTCATGGTGCATATCTCACAGCTCTCTCAAGTCTTTTACGCCTTTTTTATTATGGCGGCGCGTATATGTCGCGCTCGCGTTGCATTAAAAAAGGAGCAAAGCTACTGGAAAATGCAAACCAAAGAGCGCTCGCACGATGTTCCGGCACGCGATGTAAAAGGGCAAAAGAGACGGAGAGAGAGACATATATGTATATTGAAGTGGCTGACGCGATTTTTCCGCCGGTATAAACGTTCTATTTTTCTCAACGGCTATTTGCTGCGTGACAGATGGTCGTATCGTAAAAAGAGAAAGAAAAGGAAAGAAAAGAAAAGAACCGAATCGAGTGCGATTGCGTTATGTCGATGTTGGCGATCAATCGACGAAGCTCGTGACGCGCGTATCAATATTGTGTATCGCTAGCGTTGAGCGCACATCGGCTTATTAATAACGAAAACTACCGTAATCATCCCCCACGATGATCCACCCGTTATAAGCCTCGTAATTAAGTAATTCAGTCCGCTCGGTCACGCTACGCACATAAATTATGCAGAGTTTGCGTAATACGGTATATTTCGTCATGAATTTCTTTTAGCTACATTGAAATTATGAATAGGGCTGATTAAATATTAATATAAATGTTTTTTTTTTCACATTTATCGATACGCATAATACACTTTATAATATATGGATAAGATTATAAAAATAACAAGAAACCGTATTCCATATGTCGAAATATACTGTATGTTACTTTGACTTATGGATTTAATAAGATTTATGTCCTCTGAATTTAAATATTGAGATAATTATCATATTTTTTGAAAATTTGTTAAAACTATTATTTGAAAATATATGAAAGATTTTCGAGTCGCATGTTAAATTGCAAAAAATATAGACAGGAATTTGATATAACATCATATGCAACTTTACAGTATTAATATATTATCAGATATTGCGAGAGGAAAATTCTAATCGTGTTCGATATTGACTACAAAAGACGCGATGAAATATAGTTGCGAAAGAGAAAAAAAAAGGTAGAGAAAAGGAGAGAGAACTCACGTCAGAGTCAGGCGCTTGCAACAGGCTGCAACTGCTCGCGTCGGCGCGCGTGCGGTCAATTGCTCTTGGCGGCTCGTGCTCTTCGTCAATTAACCATCGCCGTTAATTAGTGCGCGCTCTCCCTTGGGTCCCGGCAACACTCGATAATCGCGCGAAATCGCACCGGTCCGCCGGGAAACTTTATGGCGAGCTGCCGCCACGATATCCGCCAACTGACAAGCGGGTGCTGACTGGATACTGCTGCTGGTGTATGGTGTGCAGTCGCCACTACCTCAGTAACTGAGTCGCGCGCGCGGCTCAACTCGGCGGAAGAGCGGCGAAGGGTAGAAGGTTGGCTGGGTGGAAGGGTGCGAAAGCTCTCCTCGCTCGTACGGTCCGCAGGGATGTATCAAGCTGCCAAGCGTCGCGAGAAAGAGAGAGAGAGGAGAGATAGGAAGGAAGCAGACGATGGGAGAGGGTGGTCAGGTGAAAGTTGCGGAGGCGTCGGAGAGTGGAAAAGAAAGGGAAAGAGGGAAAGAGAGAGAGAGGGCTAATAAAGAGAGGGATTGTCGGACGCAACAGGCATGGATATAGATAAAACCGAACGGAGACATATGTCGTGCCTGAGCGTCATCGTCGTCATCGTCCTCGGCTCTTTTGTGATCGAAACTGTTCCGCGTGTACTTTTTAGCATATCAACCGAGACTAGATAATCGTGCAAATTGAACAGCGCGTGGCGAGAAGTAGGACATTTCACAATGAATACAATGGCAAACGCTCTTTACAAACCGTAGTAATTTTGTCAAATGCATTCGAAGAAAATTTGCGAGAGATGTTCAACTTATCACTGAATCACTTGCTAAATATATACATATATTTTTTCTATTATATAAAATCATTATATAATATTTTTAATTATCACAAACAATGAGAACACATATATAAATTACACGACAATCGATTGTGCTTGTTTATCATTAACCTTTGACCCGTTGATCGAGCCTCTATTTCTGCGACTCTGGAGATTGACATGATGGTGTTGAAAGACTGAAATGTATATAAAGCAGATTCTCGTACGTCACGCGCGACGAGGTGTAAACTTCGCAATCGCGTCCCGATTGTCTCTCGTAACGCGCCTGCAACCGATGCGCTTGCCGCTCGAGGCAAACAGGTGTCCTTGTGCTATATCGTACTTATTGACGTTGCACTTCGCAGTTGCCGCGATCTAGTCTGGACCTGGAGGGTCGATGATCAGGAAAAGCCCGACTTTCTCACGGGCTTGCGGGATTCTAGGTCACGCAGCGAAAATTTTAGCTACCTTGTAAGCATGCGCCGATTTTGCCACGTGCCGGTTCATGTTCTTCTTGTCATTCTTCTCTCACAGAGAGAGCAGTGAAAAAATATTTTATTGAAATTATATCTGTGTCCTCTAGGAGACAATACTCGGAGCGATAAAGCACACCGGAAAAAAATATGTCACGATGATAGAAATAGTTTGCCGGATAAATCTGATTGGAAAAAGGATTATTTACGCGAGCTGTTCGAAGAGATTTTTATTTCTTATTGTATATAACTATATGCATTGCGCGACATAATAAACATAAACAAAAGAGATTATATATTACTTTTATTATTTTTTTCTGTTATAAAAATTGCATCAATAATAATATGCATCAATAATAATATCCACCATAATAACATCCACAGTAAAAGGATAAAGTTTGCAATAATAATGATAATATTAGAAAGAAAATATTATAATACTATATAATGAAAAAAATATATTGTAATATTATAATATTAATATAAACGAATATGTACCTCGTTATTTAGAAAAGTTGTTATGTTCAGTTATTTATACAAGCTCAAAAAAAATACATTAAAACGTTTTATAATAATGATTGACTTACAATTAATTAATAAAGGCCATTTATAAAATAAATATACGTAAATACTAAAAAAACGTCAATTTTAACATTTTACGCGCATTACAATATATTCCTCTTGTCAATGAGCATGTTCAAGTTATTTATTTAGTAGCATCTGTAGTACAGTAAAAAATATAATTTTCTAGACAGAAGTGTAAAGATATAAAAGTTGGAGAACTGAAAAACGCTTTGATTAATGTATTTAAAAATATAAAATAAGGTCAATTTGAATTAATTCTTCATTCTTCAGCATAAAAAAATTAGGAAGTAAGATCGATAGATCAGTTCATTTCTCGATTTCATCGAGACATATTTTAATTTCTTAGAATCATTTCAATATTTCCTATAAGAAGATAGTAAAATTGTGCGTTAATATGCATAACCTTTTGTTGGAAATCCAGGATTTGATATATATCATCCCATGATGGCATAAGAGATTTCTTCCATATCATTATACTCTTAGGACTCTTAGGTCTAACTTTTCCGATATTATCTTTTGATAATAGTTGAATGAATTTTAATGATGTTTTAATTTTCAATTAAATGCGCTTTACGATTTACGATATGTTCAATTTGCAATTGTTTTTTTTTTGACAAAATAAAATAAATGTTATAGAAGGTAATGACAGCAAGAAATTAAAAGTCAGAGATAATTTATAATTTCTTGATCTGTTTTATTGTGATTCATGCAAAATGGGTTTGCAGTTCGGCAATTTACCAATTCGGATTCGTAGAGTTGTGTATTATGGTTTATCACCCATGGAGCAACGGGCTTGGGCAAAATCAGTGACGCATGGAATACCTAATTTGATAAATAGAGCAATATGTGCACTCCCGACAATGCTTCCAGGTATATATTTATAAAGCTAAATGAAAAGCTAATAAAATATAATATGAAAAGCTAATAAAAAATAGAAGAAACACGAAAACATAATGTTATCTTCTTTATCAATTCTATAATTTATTAATTTTTTTGAAACCGAATCATTAATTACGTAAGCTGTTCAAAGAGATTTTTATTTTTTGTTGCATATAAATATATACATTGCGCAATATAATATATGTAAATGAAGAGATTATGTAATGCTTTTATTATTTTTTTCTATTATTTTATTGTTTATATATTAACATATTTTTAATGATTTGTCTTATCTTCCATATAATTTCAAATATATCGATGTTTATTATTAAAATATCTTGTTTAATCCCTCGCTTTTAATCAGTATCTTTTAATTAGCTAAATTTACTCAATCTCTTTACTTTTAATTTTTTTCTAAAATTAAAATAATATTAATGATATTTTATGTATATATATTTTAAGTATGTGTATATATATATATATATATATATATATATATATATTTATATATATAATATTTTAAATGCAAAAGAAAGTAAGATAAGTTAAAAATAAGTAGATTTTATGTTGAAATCCGGATTCTCTAATAAAATCGCCGCTGAGATTGCAGCGCGTTAAAAGTAGGCCACCGAAATCAGCTGATAGTGTGTGTACATAATTCAATCTTTTAGCATGTTCATTCATAGATATAAATGATATGCAAATGTATCAAAAATTTTATATAACTCTGTAACTTAGCGAAAAATTCAACTATTAGACAAAGATGAATCTATTACGAAATTTTTCTCGCACATGTGTACGTTTATTCTTAGAAGCCGTTTAATGTAATAGTAGTCAATTTTGTGAAGATTTATTTTAAGATGAATAAAGATTGATCGGATATTCAAATAACTTCCACAGTAATTTTATATTAATATTGCACATATTATTGTTTCTATAAAACTGCAATGTTAAAAATGTTTAATTATATTAGTATCAGAGATGAAATTGATCAAAAAATAGCATTCATGTACCAAAATTTTAATTTTATATTATGTAATAAATAAAATAATCTGTCGTTATAAATATCAATATGATATCAAACAATGTATGAGTATTTATTTTTGATTTTTATACATGCATTGGTGCGTAATATAATACGAGATAAGCAAAAAAGGTGCACGATAAAAGCACGCATTTGATCGGCGGAAATACGCTGGGATGTTTGTTATAGACACAACAAAAGTCAATTTATAAAATCAATATAATTGTTCTTTATGACGTCACATTTATTTGTAGCAATATATATTTTTTTTGTCAGTTTTCTCGTTTTTTAAACTATCTATAATTCACGTCAAGATTGAGAAATACTAATATATAAATATATTTAATATTTATTTTAATTTCCGGATTTATAATTGAGAGCTTTAAAGCTTTATGTAACACATTTAATCATTTTTCTGTAAACAATATATTAATAAAACTTTTAGCATTTAAATAATAATATATAATCTTTGAAATCCCTATATTTTAAAATTTAAATCATTGTTGCTATCGAAAAAATCATAAATTGAAAAGATTGTAGATAAATATATTTATTGCATCATTTTTGTTGAGGATAATAAGAAGATATTTTGTATTATCATATTTCATATATTTCGAAATAGAAATTTTATTCTTTTTCTATTAAAACTGTTCTTTAATTTTTAAGAGTACTTTTATAAATCACTATTTTACAGTATGTACCTCTAGAATATAAATTACGTACAGATTTTTCTCTGCTTTCGCTTTTCTTTTTCTTATAATTGTAATATTTATTTCTACAAATAGAAAAGAAAAGAAGAATAATAAATTAAAAAAAGAATTCATGAAAACTTACTCTATAAAATTCGATTATTCTATTTTAATAATTTCTTCATCATTTTCTATAATGAAAATAACTTTTAACATTTTATGAACCAATATTATTTTATAATGTTTGATATGTTTAGAATTTTAAGTTTTATTTTTATCATTATTTTAATTTACTGAATTTATATAATAGAATGATATTTATATATTTTATTGAACTGAATTTTATTGAATGAAATTACATATTTTATTCTCTTTTGTAGTGATTATTCTCGATTGTATGTTTTTCGTTTTAGGTTTTATAATGTCAGCTGTGGTATATAAATGGTCTATTGCAGAATATGAACGATGTAATCGCAAGGATCCCAAATTATACGAGAATGACAAATAAATGCAAGAATTAATTAAGCTATTTTTAAAGTCGACAAATGTTTTATGTTGATATTATTGTCTTTAAAATTATTTCTAAAAAATTAAAAGTCTACTGAAAATAATAAAAATTAAAAATCTAATAAAAAGAAATATAGAAAAAAAAATATTATTTCTTGCCATTTATATTATTCTTACGCATTTATATTATGCACTTTCGTTTTTATATTATACATATAATATATTAAAATAATTAAATATTAAAATGTCAATAATTTTTTGATAAGATATTAACAGAAAGTAAACTGCTATGATTTATGTATACTGTACATTTAATTACATGCATATAATTATCTGATAGTATTACTATTATTAGCTACTAGTTGTAATAATGTATGGAGAGCAAATTTATAATTACTTAGTGATTTATGAAGTAATTATAAATTTAATTGAAGCTTGTATGTATATTGCATATTTCTGAATAGAGAGAATAATAACAATATTTGAAATGTTTCCTCCCTATGTTTTATCTGAAATACTATGAAATACTATTTGACAATAAAAATTTATTTGATACATTTATTGATTACAAAATCAATAACATATGCTTTATTTTTCGTCATATCACAAGTCATAAATTATATGACATATAGGGACAGAGAAATGTTAATAGTCTAAGGCACATATCAATGCCACTCCTCTTTTTATCCAGTGCGATTGTGGTTTATCAGCAGGAATTTCCATTGCTAGAATGAAGTTTGTGGAATGTCCCGTTGTTGTTAAAGTTCCAGAGCGCTCGATAGTTTTATATACAGGACATATATAAATACCATGCGATGGAATTATATGATTAATTTCTGGTAACAGAAGGATTGGTGGCATATCTGGAATAACAGATACTATTATATATTATCTGAATAGAGTCCACAGCGCAGTTAAATAATTTGTAATATACTTAATAAATATATAAATAATACAAAAAGCTTTGAAAAACAAAATTATATTTAATTAAATTATATTAATACTTATATTTTTTAAGCTTAATAATTTGTTTAGTAAAATTTCATATATTAATGTAAAATATTAATGTATCTATATGATAAGAGATTATTAAAATATTTAACCAGTGAATAATTCCTTTGGTAAAGATTCTATGAGATAATTTCCATTCCATCGACAACCTTCTAAGAAAAGACCATAAATAATACAACCATCCGATGGTTTTTGTTTTGGCTTAGAAATTAAAACCTGTAACATGTAGCATTGCGTATAACACATTGATTTTTAAAAGAGATACGATTTAAAATAATTTCTTGAGAAATAATATTGATTTAAATCTTAAATTTAATCAAATTAATTAGTTACAAGTTAATAATTGTTAATAATTAATTTAAACATATGCATAATAATTTAATAATTAATTTAAACATATGCATAATATTAGTATTGTAAATTAGAATTTATGTGTATAGATGTAAAGGTAACATTTTATTTGATTACTATTTATATTGAATAAATTTCTCCAAAAGCTTAAAGAACATTGAATTATCATTAATCTCTATTTTACTGTAATTATTATATATTGTGTGTCACGTCATGTTGACTAATTAATCGATTAATTACAGACTGTAGACGTACTTTGTAACTAAAATCGATCGTGTCAATAGATACTATGTGTTTCCGCGCGAAGTTTTGTAATGTGCCAGTTAAAAAGGCTTGAGGAAAATAGAAACCTGATATCCAAAATGCAGACGGTATACCATGATCTCGCCAATCACTTATAAATTTAATCCTGTCTTTTAAATCAATGAACCACGCGGCTAATAAAAATAATAAAATATATTTAATATAACTGTAGATGAAGTAAAAATTATAATAAATTATTAAATTTATAATTAACCTATTTTTCTACCTAAAGATTTTAGAGAAGGATAACTTTGCCAATTCGGGGGTATTTTATTGTTAACAAGACTAATAGCCATCATTTCGAGTTGTTCTGACATAATGATTGAGCCTTTTAAAGCTTTCAAAAGATTTTGCAACATTGATTGCACGATTTCAAGTAAGTCATTGTATCGTTTGGCTTCTTGCAGTAATATGGTATTAAAAGATTCTTCGTATGATATAGGATATCTGTAATTCAATTTATTATATTTAGAAAATTCTATTTCTTTAATATTAATTTATTCATGTATGTGTTATGATTTTAAAAACATTTCGGAATTTTGTTTCTCTTTGTTTCTTTATAATAATATATATGAAAATATATTAGAAAATAAAATATATGTTACGAGGTAATAAGTCTTTGCTACATATTTTAGAAATTATATAAAAACATATATATATTTTATGTATTGGAAAATAAAAATCAGAAAAGTTTGTTATTTTAAGTTATAAAGAAGTTTCACTTTAAAACCATATTAAAATATAAAATTTTAGATATCCGGATAATGATGTTCAATACCTCTCTTGCATTGTGATTAAATCAAATAGTTCGGGCATCGTGGCAAACATATCGTTGATTATTTGAATTGTTATTTCCTCGCTACTTGCAGCTGCAATATCGAGTTCTCTGGGCTGAATGCTTAACAAAGTTGCGAGACAGATATACGTTTCTGCTTGAGCGCATGTTATATCGGCGTTTGAATGCATGCCAAACAGTGACGGGTTGTCGTTTAAAGGAAGACCCTTTATATACTCTAGATAATCGTCAAATAACGCTGCAACTGGTAGCTTTATATGTAAAAAGTAATAGATGAGATTATGATAAGAAGATAAAAACATGATTAATAATAGTTTCTTATAAATGCTTTTATATTGTGAGAAGCTATATAGTATAAATTTTGAAAATATGTAAAAAGGAATAAATTAGTCTTTTACTGCTGATGATCTAAATTTCAAACTTATTAACTTCAAAAAATCAATAAATTTTTAAATAAGAAAGAAGAAATTAAATATTTATTATATTCCTTTTGTCAGATTATTTATGTTAAAAGATATTTTAATTTTTTCAAGAATCATCATAGTTTAAAACTTATAGGTTCTTAATTTACATTACAAGTATATTTTAAAATATATTTGTCATTTGAATATATGTACGAGTATATGTCGTATATATACCTGATGATAAATATTTTGTTCGTCAAATTGATAATCTGGGGAGAGCACATTGGCATTATAGTAATCTTCAAGAAGTGTCAGAACACATCGGTGATCCCAATCGTCTGTTATTCGTCCACCATAATTAATATGTCCAGCAGTATATTTGAGAATCTTTTTTATGTTCGAACCATTATTTAAAAGGAAAAAAATTTATTTATTTAACATATAAATTAAATTCTCTCCAAGATATCGAAGAAGAAAAAGTTTCTAATTTTTAAATTTTTTAAAATTTCTTGAAATTTTTTTTATTTGTATAAATTATTGTATAAATTATATATTGCAAGTGTAATGTCAAGATATTTTATTCAGTATAATATTATGTAAAAAATTGCAATAATATTTAAAGTTAAATTTTTTAAATATTGTAATATATGAAGTCACGTATTTAATATACCGATTTTATATTTACGAGTGAAAATATGAAAGCATCATTTCTTTCTTTTTTATATTAGTTCCGCAATACTTTTGCGAAGAAACAGAAAATGATTGAAATACGAATGCTTTGAGCTCTGCTTCTCTGCTTATTTTATCGATATTTTACCTTAAAGGGTAAAGTATCATATTCCATAAGAAACATGTGTAATTGCGACAAGCATATAGCTAAATCTCCGCTTGTAAATTCGTAGGATACATTGAAGCCAAGGGAACCAAATTTTCGTCTCTCGAGAAGTACGGAATGGAACATGCAAAGCGAGAATATAAGCCACTTGAATAGCGAAGCTTTTGGATGATCGGATTGCAGAAGCTCTTCCATTTCTGTCACTTGTGTCAGATATGCACAGAGCATATTTGCCTATGTTAAAAACACGGACAAAAATAAAGGAAACTCTACAATAATGTCAACATATAATATGAGAACATGCTTTTATTTTTTTATATTGTTGTAAAATAATGATTTTTTTATATTTTTAATGCTCAAAGTTACAAACATGAAAAATGTCGTGTTTTTAATGTATTTACAAATATTTTTTTAACTAAAAGTAAAAATAAAGTAATTCTATCTAAAAAGTGTATTTTGAAGTTTTACACAAAAATGACGATGTAATATTGATACCTTTATACCTCGCGGTAGTTCTATCGTCATTTTGCTGCTGTTTTGAAGAATATTGACGGGAAAATTGAGAGAGGGTGAGGATGTCAACCACAATCGAAAATCTCGGTGAATATTTTCCTGTAATAATGTTTCAACGAGAGATTCGAGTTGTGGCATCCAACTTGGTGCCAAGTGACAATTCTGTAAAAAGAGAAAAGTTTATATTATCATTAAATTAATAAAATGAACTATTATTATTAAATTAATATTTATTTTTTATACATATACATCAAATATGTTTTTATTTTTTTATATAATCGTTTAATATACATTTTGGTAGTCATTTAATAACATTGTTAAATTAATCTTTTTGCATATATAATATTACAGCATTATTTTTATATATACACATATTTTTTAATATTTTCAATTGGTGCCATATTTTATATGAAAAAGACATTATTTGAAGATGTTTAAAAATTTAAAAAAAATAGCGGATATATTGGATATCCGGAAATTCCGGACATGTCATAAAAAATTGCATATTAGAGAATTGAGGAAATAGCGTTATTAATTATCGTTAATGAATAATTAATTCTTAAATAATTCAGAACAAGTAATATTGTCTCTGCTATAATATTAATTTCACGTGTAATATATAATAATAAATTCAGTTATTAATAATAATTCAGTTATTTCGTTGAATGTAAAATTTTGCTATCTCCTGTTTTCTCTTTATCATTATAATATGAGCACATTATGCAGCGCAATAAATTATTTCTCTGATTCTTCTGTTTCATATATTATCAAAATGAGACATTTTTTCTTTATCATTACATTTTATTTTGTCGCATAAAAAAGATCAAATTTTCATATTATACAAGAAGCTTAGATATTTTGAATATATTATTATATGCTGATTACGAGATTTACATATTCCTGTACTTGCAAAATAAATAAAATAAGTTTTAATAGTATTTTCATATTATTTTAATTTTAATGTGTAATATAATATATGCAATATATAATATGTAATAAGTACAAATATTAAATAGATAAATATTTATTTTTATGTATTAATGCTTTTTGTAGAATAATTGTATTTATTTTATTTAGTTATCGAAAGATTTTCTAACTTGAAAAAAGACCCAAGTGCCTATCTCCGTTGATTGTTTCAGCATAGCCTGCGCTCTGAGCCCTTGACCCTGGCCAAGAGATATCGAATACAATTTTCTGCCCATCTTTAGTTTGTCGGCAAATTTATATAATTCTGTAGCCGGATCTGTACCGGGTGATAAGATAAAGACAATCGGCGTGCTATTGGATGACTCCTTATAAATCGTCGACAATTCCGCTATCTGTGGTTCAACAAATTGCCGACCAATCGATTTCATCACGTAGATTTGTATAGCATTAATAAGCTTATCAGGCCGTAGACACTTGAGTATTAGCAACTTTTCAAAATCGTTGAGCTTCGTGTTCCATGGCTCGGGAAACAGTGCTCTAAGTAGAGCAAAATTGTATTTTAAATGAAAGTAATCTTTGTTTTAATCATTTTGCAAACTATAGAGTAAAAAATTTTTAATTTTTAATATGGTATAAATTTTTTTATATCTTTTCTTTGAAGAGATTATAGAAAATACAAAAAATAAAAAAAAATAACATTTCTTACTTTTTCATTAATAAATTAAAATATAAAATATGTAATTAGAGAGAGAGAGAGAGAGAGAGAGAGAGAGAGAGAGAGAAGGGGAGGGAGAGAGAGAGAGAAAGAGGGAAAGAGAATAAATAATTTTATATTAATATTTAATGTATAATTTTCCTTCCTCCTTTTTATCCCTATTCAAATTGATATAATTATTTCTAGATTAGTGTAACACCCTGATCGTTATATAATATGAATTTATGAATATGAAGAAAGATAATCTACTTACAAATGCGCTTCTTGAGTATCAAATATATTTTTAAATTGGATTAAAGATAACTGGAAAGATGTCACGAATTTGTCAAACTTTGGAAGCCTCTCTAAAGCTTGAATTTCTCTCCAGCATCTTGGGGTAATCCATTCTGGTGCGGGATTTGACAATTCCTAAAGAGAAGGAAAAACTTTGCATATATATCGATAATGTGTCAACGTGATAAATATTTTTTATTTACACACATTGAAGACCATTTTTAGCTATTTGTTTTAAATTTTAGCAGAAACAATTAAAAATTAACAAAACAAATTTATTCTAAATCTTTTACTTTAAATAAAGATACATTATAGTAAATTTAATTCTATTTCACATTTGATAGATTTTTCGTGCTTGATTTATATGTCAAAATGATGCTAAATATATAAAAATAGAATAATACTTTATAATAACAATAGTTTTAGATCTAATTTCTATATAATTTCCAAGATTTATTTTATACAAATAAACTTTTAAATTTATATATTACGTACTTTTACAGTATCGTTATAATATACGTTAGTATATTAATATTTGTACATATGTATGATTATATTTTAAAATGTTTTGAATAAATTAGATATTATATTTGTATTTCTCTAAAATTAATGCAATAATTATTTGCTCGATGAAGTAAATTTTTATTAACTAAAATATATAAAATTAATGTATATAGTTTTACACTATAGCTATAAATTCGCTTCATGTTTTACCCATTTTGGTGCGACCGTAGTAAGAAAATGTCGCCACTCTTTCGGATCGATTTTTTTATTGTCCAAGAGAATACGTGCACAGAGAAGAAAGCCAAAATGCAATTTGTGTCTTTCAAATAAACTACGACATACGTTCGAAAAGAGCGTGTATGTGAAGTTCTCGTTGATGTTTGAGATTCGTTTATTAATATTTTCTGCGAAATTTTTTACATAAATTTTTTGTATAAATTACAGTAAATTAAAAAGCGTAAAATATTTTACTTTAAATATTCAAAATATTTTAGAATTTTAATTAATACTAATTAATACTGATATTAGCGTATCGATCCTACTGTCTGATTTTTTAAAGAGCTTTAAATTTAAGAGAAATATTATATAAACGTCTATTTATATAAACACAAATTCAAGTTTATATAATCTTTTTAACTAATATATTTTTTAAACTTATATATCAGATAAGTTTGAATTAATGAAAATTAAAATGCGACTGAATATTAGAATACGAAAAATACTTACCACTTCTTTCGGTATTTGATATACTGTTGTTAAATATAACAATGAACCATTCTAGAGAATATTGATACATGATATCGATATGCTGAAGATCAACGATACAAAAAAACAATATTTGTGCCCGATTTGCTACTGGCATGTACAATGATCTTGTTAAATCGATATTTGTTTGCGTAAGTTCGGCAGTCTCCATCTTTATCTATGTTAAAAAATCACAAAATTTATATCTTTGATAAATTTATATAAAGAGAAGTTTTTAATTGTACTTTTAATATTAAATGGTTTTTATCTCGTTATTTTTAACGGATTAAATATCTGTATGGAATTTATTTTATATCTTATTTTAGTATTGAGATTTTATCTAAATTAAATTAATTTATAAATTACATACTTATTGTTAGATTATTAATCTATAAATACATACTTAGTATAAATTAAATTAATTTATACTAAGTATATATTTTAGAACACTCTAGAAATTCTTTTAATATTTGACCTTGATTTTTTCGCTTTTGGTTTTGGAGGCTTCCAAGGTAAGAATCAGGTCAATGTCATCAACTATCGATTTTTTAGATATTGCAAGTTTGTGAAGAATTTTCTCTTCAATTGCTTCTAGATCCCGTTTCATTTCAGCACATGATACAATAATCGTGTTTCTTTCTTGCTCGAGATCAGGACGTTCTTGTATCGTGACTAGAGATAGCATCTGATCGATAAGATTACTGTAACATATATACATGGGATTAGATACAACTGTAATATCGCAATTCATAATATAATCAATTGATGTCGGGATAGTTGGAAGTTTCCTTTTTTATCAAATAAGATTAAGTCAACTTTAATTTATCATTTTTGATTTATTTAAAAACTACATTGATTATTCAATCTTATATTAATTACATTTAGTGATATTTATAAAATAGAATGATAAATTTTCTGAAATAACAAAATTTAAGAGAGAAAAAGATGATCGCACATATTAAAATAAATAATGATTGAAATTCTTATTGCATATAATTACTATTAAATATAATTAGATAATTATTTTTATTGCGAAATAATATGTAATTAGTAAGAATGTTTCATCATTTTATAATATCATATGTATAAAATTGACAAGATATTTGTATAAAGAATTTAATTGATTGACAAAGTCCGCATACTATTAATTATTAGCATATGTAAATTATTCACATAGATTTTTTCTATTAAAAGAATTAGAATCTTACCTAACAGTGAGCGCAAAATTGACTATTAGTACTTTCATCATTATTTCCGGAATATAATGCGGATTTGACAATCTCGTAGTTAGATAAAGACGAAAATCGAAATTGTAAGGTATGATATTTTCACCAATTTTGATACTCAATTGTCCGGCATGCTTAAATAATGAACGCGTAAAAATCGGATCTAGGGTAGTCTCCAGTTCGGTACCGACATTTTCGATTAAACATGGTTTCCCGAATCGCACAGAATTTTCAATGACACGTAAAAGGTTCTTATCTGTTATTTTTGCTATTACAAGTCCATTTGGCTTATGCTGAAATAAAAAGTAATTTAATCGATTAGGAGAAAATAGGAAAAAAATATTATTAAATTATAAACAATAACTGAAAAAAGTCAATGTAACAATTATTTAATTATAAATTATTAACTATTTAATTTATATTAACTAACAAATATAAAATTAATTATATATAATTTCAAATTTTTCCTAGTATTTTGTATTTATGTTCTTCTATAGCTTTAAAAAGTTGTAACATATTATATGTAGTATCGTATGATATATTTCTGCATTATATAAATATGTACATAACATATAAACATTTTTAAGAGTCAGATAAATTCAATACATTTCAAACATTATTACATTATTGAGTAAAGAGAAAATTGATGCAAATATAATAAAATATTTCCATAATAAATTTTCATTATAATAATAATAATATCATCATATAAATTGTTATGATTTTATACAGTTATTATAATTCTATTTAAAATACATACATCATAATTTAACCGAGTTTTAGTTTTACGCTGTATTTCATTACAAAAGTTTCTTGTCAACAGGTGCATAAAATTTATTGTAGAATATAGAACAGGCAGATAATATTAAAAAAGATTTTCATTGTGTGTTTTCACAATGTAATACTCACCATATTGCGTATCCATTTATTCGCCTGTGCGTGAGGGTCGATGAAAAGAGGCCATCGTTTTGAATTCATCACGAGAACCGCGTTTTCGACAGATAGGGCATCCCTCGGCAAACCGTTAACGTGCCAATTTCGTATCTCCATCTGATTGCCGAGTGTCAATACCGGTTTACTGCCTGGAGTATGAGGTACATCGCTGCCGAGAGCATTGTACCAGATTGCCAGGAGTTCCTGACGGTAGGTGTCCGTAAAGGGCGTCAAATATGCTATCGCGCCTATAATAAGGTGAAAGCTTTTAACACAAAAGGATTGTGTGAAATGAGGCTTATTCTGTTATTAGAATGAACAGAGCTATTGTAGACATTTGATTAAATTGATGAAAACAAAGCTTTGTCAATCTCCCACGTTAATGGAACAGTCAATAATTGAAATAACCAATGAACTGTATGCAGATAGTGTTATTTCCGATGGCTTTACACTGGCAGAAATCAATATAAAGAGAGAGATACGCATTAATTTTTAACATCATACAAATAATGTTTTTGACTTGATGAATAAAAAAATTCTTTAATGCATTTAGAAAAATCATTGCAATTGAAGATGAGAAATAAAGATGCTTCCGTGACTTTATGTTTTTGTTGGATAATTTTTATTTTATATCTTAATTTTGCATACTCCTTTGCTATAAGAAACATTAAATTGACAATAATTTTTATGATTATGTATAAATTATTATTAATTTTATTTAATTATAGAATACGAAAGAAATGTAATACTAAAGAAATCATAAAGTTGAATATAATGAAACTCGCTAAAAAGTGTAATATTAAATTTTTTTAAATCTCTTTATAAGATTTTGTAAAGAATTTCGATTTCTCATATCTGATAGAATCAGGTTAGTGTCATTATTCTTTACAAAGAAATTTCCTTAAGGTCTAGGGAGAAAATTAGGTTTACGAGAATGACTGTGATTTATCGTAAATGGCACATTAAAGTGGATCATACAGAATTTTAGCAAGGAAACAACGATCTTAATGGACTGGTTTGAAAATGTACGATAAAAATTTTATATTATATAATATATCTCTTGAGATATTGAACAGTTATGATAGTTTTAAATTATTATGCATGTTATTTATTCATTTTTTAAAATAAAAATTTATTTTTAATTTAGCATTATTTTTTGATAATTTCAATTATGAACAAATGATATTATATATATACACACACACACACACACACACATAAGAGAAGAAGAAAAAGAAAAAAGAAAGCTTTATTGATCCATTTGTTGTTTTAATATAATAAATAGTTTAAAATATAATAATCAGTGTATGTTTTGTGTATATGTGATTTAAATTTATTAAACATTTAAAATTAAATGCTATAAAATATTATTATTATGTATGCTATATATTAAAACAAGAATTAGTAAAATATTTTTGATGATTGTGCAAATTATAATTTTAATTTAATATATTTATATAATACTCATATATATAACACAATAAAATACAATAATATGTATAATACACTAACTTATGGTGTAAATTAAATTATCCAATTTATTTCGATTAATAATGCAACGGATTTATAAGAAAATTATTTCTGAAACCATATAAATTATTGAGTTCTATTTTCTTTTTCGTACATAAATAAAAACAAATAATTCGAACGAGGTGATGATTGAAAATTTATTCACACCTGACGACAGAAGTATGTCACCAACAGTATTCTTTAAGGACACTTTTATATCGTCTACCATGATGATCCATCGCTTCTGTTCATCTGACAGACCCACGATCAATCTCATGGCTCGTGCTATTCGTTCCTCACATAGCTGTTTCTGTCTCTCTAAATCGACCTTTTTCTCTTCTTTCTCCCTCAATTGATCTTGCAGTTTCTCAATACCTTCTTCTACCTCTCGCAGCCTCACTATAGCGACTGCAAGAGTTTTTTCAGTTTCAACCAAAATTTTCTCGGCTTTCTCCAAAGCTGCCATTTTAGGTTCCACTTTTTTAATTACGAAATAATAATTGTACATAGCGTGGACCCACAAGCACAAAGAATGACAAGCTTTTGACACTTGAAGTACCTTTCGATATTATAATTTTGATAGTTATCTTATTATAATATTTTGCTAATTCAAATATTAAAGAAAAAATAATTACATTCACACACAATATAATTAATGAATTATATTTTTTGATAATTTCGTATTTTTTTGTAATATTTTTTATTGCAATTAAAATATTAATTTAAAAAAACATTTATATCAACAAACATCTTTCTCTTTTTTTTTCTTTATTAATTTTACAGTAAAAAATTGTCAGAAATTATTGCATATGTTCATGAGATTAAATAATTTATACTTGTATAAAAACTATATCAACATAATAATTTACTGCAAGTAAAAATAAAGTATTAATTTTTGAGATTAAATGTTTTATATGAAAGAAATGATCTGATGAATGTAATTTGTTATAGTATAATTGTAAACGGATATTTACCTTTGCTGGTTCAAAGTTTGGATTTTCTATGTAATCCTTAAGTTTATTGATCATTTCCTCCGTAATATCTTCCTTCCTAAAATGCTCCATTGTATACAAAAAATGAATTGGATCTGCTAGCATCTGACTCCCAGGGGTCCAGTAATCTAATATTTTTTCCCCGGGAAGCTTTCCAGGATGCTGATAATATAGTCATGTGTTTTATAAAAGTTGTTCATCTAATTAAATTAATTAACAATCGTATTGTACTTTTTTTACAAAAAATTAGAAGCATTTCAAATTGAGTTATTAAATTATCAATTTTAATTTACATTTTAAATCTCTTAATAAACAAATTTAACAAAAAAATACTAAAAGTACTAAAAATAGAATACTTTAAATAATGTATTGCTATATAAAAAATGCACAACTAATAAAGCATAACCATTATTATATTATATTTTATAATTACAATTTATATTAAATTATATGATAACAACTACACACATAATATAAAATAAAAAGCATTATAATAAATATCTTGTTTATAAAACAGAAATATTATCTTGTAATATATGTATTCGCATAATTATACATATAATTGAACGAACCTTATGTGGTTTTACATTGTTCACAATGCACATTGCTTCAATTACTAAAAGTACCCCTAATGGCGGTCTTTTCATTGCTTTTACCTCTGCAATATCATTTTTATTTAATGCTTTCAAGCTAGCCTCGGCAGCTTCGAGCATTGGTTTTACTTCATCTGCGAATATGTAAAATTTATATGAATAGACAGATTATTTATTTCTCATCTGTAAATTACAGTTTTGTCTAATTCTCTTGAATATTATTTGACTTATCTAAATATTCAAAACTACGGTATTTTTCTTAACATTGTATTTATTTAGTTCTTAAGTAATGAGAAAGTAACGAATATAAAATATCAACTTCGCAAATATTCTTTTGTCAATATTTTATCTTTGCTATTGAAAACTGAAAAATTTTTTGTTTACTAATAGACTGTCAGTAGATTTGTACATATGCGAAATGATCGAATTTTTATTTATAATAGTTTCTACACACATTAATATCATTTTACTTTATTTAACTGTATATACATATAAATATTTATGTGCGAGCTTTTATGTTTGATACTACAAAATCCCTCATCAAGTTTTTGATATTTAAACTGCGTATAGGCGCAATACATTTTTCCAAAACGGAGAAATAAATAATGTATGCATTTGCATGTTCTCAATAATGTTAGGCAACATAATAAAAAAATATTATTTTTAATCTATAATACATTATAATCTATAATACATATTTCCAACTGATTGTAAGTTTCAAAAGTACAATAAAAGACAATGAGAGAATTAATCATGATTTGTACGCTAAAGTTGTACTGTAAAGTTGTATGCTAAAATCTATTTATGCACATCATATAGTTTACATATCGATGATAATTAGCTTTTTATTATCAGGGAAATAGTGAGATATTTGAATATAAATTTTGTATGGAATATCCTCTATACTTCGAATCAATCAAATATCATTCTAAACATAAATGCCTTAATATTTTGAATGTTAGTTATTAATTCATGCAAATAAAAATTAAGGATGTTTAAATTTTAAAAATTGAAGATAATTTATTTTGTGGCCGTATATTTTGCAAGGTAAATAAACTATTTGAGTCAAAAGTTTATATTGATATTTTTCGATATCATTATATTTTATCTGTATTATTACAAAATACAATTAAGAAAGAGAAGGAAATAAAATGTAATAAAAAAAGAAATAATTTCAAGAATAATAAGCGCCACTTTTTTGTTTCTTCTTTTCATTTTAATGTTACGAATTTAATGCTGCTTATAAATGCGCGCAATTGCATATAGTACAAACATAAAATATACTGATCTCACAGAATGAGATTTTACTAAGCTTAAAGAGATAAAACGTACTTAAATCAGTCTCTGCCTCATTTCTAATCGCTTCATTTTCGTGCTTCATTTTTGATGCCATCGCTTCTTGTTGCATTGCTACTACCTTAACTTTTTCCGCTTCAATCTACAACAAGTATTACGTGACAAAATATATTTCTTAAAACTAAATTAAATTGTATCATTATAAATATTCAAAAACAGAACTGCATATTACATTTGATAGAAAGAATAGTAGGAATGATTAAATTTGTTTGCCTATGTATACAGTTTTTTAAATTTATTATTATTAAATTATTATTAAAATAATCTTATTGAAATTAAAGTAAAATTGAAATTAAAGTAAAATTTTTTAATGTAAATATCAATATAAGAATAATGTAACTCTAATTATAATATTTTATTTAATTATAATTTATTTTTTTCTAAATGGATTTAAACATTAAAATTTCAAAAATTTTTTATAATATTTATACATTTTTGATCAAATTATTTAACTACCTACACAAACAATACAAAAATTTTCCATTAATAATTTTATATGCATATATTTATTTAAACAATTTTGTTTAGATAAAATCAAAATAGCTGATTGTAAAAAATTAGTACTATAATTTTCTTTTAAAATTATAAAAAATTTTATTTAATTGATATGTACATTTTTATGAATAAAATTTTATTGTGTATTACAGTAAAGAATAATTTATTTTATTATGGTAGTATTTTTTTCTTAATTGACAAATTAAAAAATTATAATATTTTACTCAAATATTTTTATTTTTAATTAACATAATACTTCATACTTTATTTTATATCGTGATACGAAATTTAGAGACCTTGCTAATATATTTTTAATTTTATCAAACATTATAAAATCATATTTAAAACTATTTTAATTAATTGGAATTAACAGAATTACTAAAAATTGGAATTAACAGAATTGATAATTTTTTGCAAAAATTTACAAAAGATTGTCAAAATTACAATTTTATCAACATTATTAAAAGCTAATAAATTAGATTATCTTCTCTTATAAATCTTTCACGTAATATATATATATATATATATATATATATATATATATATATATAATGTAAAAAGATTTTTTAAAATGTCAAAGAGATTAAATTCTGAGAGATTAAATTCTCTTTTACGATTAAGAAATGGTTTTAGCTAAAAGTATCATTTAAAGATGTAGAAAAAACTGTTTCTTTTTCAATTAAAAAAATAAATTAAGAATATAATATAATTTTAATTATTTTTATTATATTAAAATAGTGACTAAAGTACACTTTTAAAAACTATAAATTGTGTTTTTTTATATCTAAAGAGACAATTCATTCAAATTAAACTTTGATTTGTTTTTTATCTAAAACCTATCCAATTAAAAGTAATAATTACTATATAATCCATTGAAAGGCGATCTATATTTAAGACTTAATTCAAATATATATTATCAAAAAATCAATAAAAATACAAAATTTGCAATAATTAAAATAATAAATAAATAAACAAATATATATATAAATCAAAAATACAACATTTCTAATAATTAAAATAATAAATATATATATATATATATATTCATAGAAAAAAAATTTCACAAAAAAACAAAACGTTTTCTTTCTTAAAAGAATCTTATTAAAAAAATATTTTATTTTTTCATTTATGTCTTTAATGCCATAGTTAGAATATTTTTGGATTCAAATTCTTTGTTAATTTATAAGTTGCATATTTGATATGATATATGAGATATATTTGAATAACGAGAATATAAAATTTTCATCAAAAAGTTTAATGCTTACCGTGTCTTGAGTAATTTCTTGTATCATTTTTATTGTAGCTTCCGTTGCCTTTTCTATCTCCGGCTTCATACGTTTTAATAGCTCTTGCATGTCTTTAACTTCTGCTTCTGCGCTTGCTAGTTTGCTTAATCCTATTTGAGAAAAATGCGTGTTGAATTACAAAGACAAGTTGTATGGTAATTCATGCAAATTAAATGAAGTCATTAATTTGCATCGTCTGATGTTTTAAAGGCAAGCTAGAGGTATTGAATTTTCTTCATTTCTTGATCTCATTGAAGGTTCAATAGATGATGTATCTCCATTTTATCACGATCTTTCAATGAATACTAAAAACAGTAGTTTTTCTTCAATTTCCTCTATTTTTTCTACTCTTTTCCTTTATTCTAGTAACATTAATCTCATCATGATTCTCAATAATAATAGAATAAATTTAAATAAAATATAACATAAATAAAATATAATATAAATAAAATTAAATTGAAATATTATATGAAGAGATATATTGTGCAAGAAGTTAACATAAATGGGATATTTCATTTCCTATCTTCTAACATGTGAGTGACATCCGTGATTTGTACAAATCGATATCTCAAATTTACCACGAACTACGAGCTACCGTCAGACAGTCGGCGTTAAATTTACGAACTGGAAAATTACTGATAGCGGTCGTTTACCTTTGACCTATGACATCCGTCTCCTGTTATACTCAATACACGCCGTTAGTAAAATATAAAAAATAAATATTAAATAAAACAGAGTTTTTCCGTTTTAATCATTGTTTCAATTTGATTACTTTCATTAAAGTCCTATTATGTCTGCTGTAAAGAAATTTGTGTAATATAATTGTGTAATATAATTGTGTAAGATGATCATATTTTTTAAATTCCTTTTCACAATTCTTTTATATCTTTATATTTTATATTATTTATTCATACGAGACTGAAAAATATAAAATATCTTTTTATACTTTTGAAAATATTATTTTAAAATTCTTATAAAATTCTCAATATATATTTTAAAAATAGATATATATCTCGTATATTGTTTAACATCATATATCTAAAAAGCTTCACTAAATTAGAATAATTAGAGAGAACTTACGTACAAAATTTTCCTAAATATTAATATTTATTATTTTCTAGAGTTACTGAAATCGTTATTTTAATTATTCTATATTTTTATTTTATAGAGTTTTTCAACTTTACTCACCGATAGATAAATGAGTCATCGAAGAATTTAATTCGTTTTTCTTCTTTTTCAAAAGGTTGCCATAACCAGAGAGCAATTCCAAATACGACATAGGAGTAACGTAATTATGACGTGCCAGTTCCTAAGATAAATTTTATTCAGCATAGTGACGTCTGTGTCCAAATGAAATTACATACTCACTTTCAAAAAGCGTTCACTGGCATCAATCACGCTGGAATGCATATATTGACATATCCTTACGATAGATTGCAAATTTTTATCCGTGATCGATTTGTCTTTGATATCCGATAAAAGATGCGTCGCTACGCTCTAAGCAAAAATATATTGCAATTAATACTCGAGCAATTATATCCTGAGCAATTATTTTATAATATATTTCAAATATCTATCTTATAATTTTGTGACAAGCTTCGTGAAATTAATAGTTACTTATATGTGTTGAACTTCTGGTTTCAAATGAGAATTAATTTACTATGAGAAATTTCGAGGAGAAATTGGAATTCGGAATTAACAACGCGAACTTACTTAGTATTGCCAACATTTGCATCATATTAACATTAAATATACATTCAAGTCCGATAATAAGGTCGTACTTATAAGAAAAGAATAGATTTCAGAATTAAATCGTATTTATTATTAAATAAGTTTATTATTAAATAAATCAGTTTGTATTTAGATGTGTAAGGAAACAAATATTTTCTTGCATATTTCGTATCGATAATCTTGTAATCAATAGAATCTCTGTACAATTCTTAATTAATCAGTTTTAAAATCAGTTTTTAAGCTTATTTGACGAAAGTTATATCAAATGACATAATTTTCATCAAATTTTTCAAGTTCTGAATTTCAATAAATATACGGTGCTATTATTTTGTGAATTAAATTCATTTATTATCTATCCAATAAGATTAATCTTTTTAAACATATCAGTTTATAAAGCTCTGGACTTGTTAATTATACGTCTGTCAAAAGTATAAGGATTATAATAAAATCTCGAAACTAAAATTAATTATAAATTGCTGTCATTTATTATAGATCGCCTTTTCCTTTGCTTTCACAATTTATAGAAATTGAAATGACTAACTTACTAGTAAATAAGTTATAAATATATATATATATATATATCGTGATATGAAATGTGATGATTAAGTAGATTAATTTGCTGTTAATTATAGTTTAATATTTATTAGGAAAAGCATATGTTTATTATTTTTAAAATAAACGATATATTTTAAAAGAAAATATAAATTTTATACTTTTACATTTATTATTACGCAACCGTTGTTTCATTCATAAAGTTTTGATATAACATATGTATTAAATAAATAATACTTTCTCGCATATCCCGCATTTTTCCATTATAAATATATTGAAAATACTAATGCAAAAAATTTGTTAGAAATATACTCAATTCAATGTCTCACGTAATATTAAAACTTTGTAATAATTACTCAATATTTTGATGAGACATTTATAATTTTATTATTTCTATATTTAATAATTACATTGGAATTTATATATACGTAGTATATATAAATAATAAAATACTGTATAATATTTTTGAGGCAGATATAATATTGATCTGGTATTTTTATTAAAACATTTTTATATAAGAGAATTGCAAAGAGACATATATATATTTTTAGTCATTTCATATATATATTTTTAGTCATTTCATGCTTTTTATTATATTATACAAACCTGAAGTGCGGTATCCGGCCAGGGGCAAAACCAATCAATTGAACAGCAATTTACTAACGCCGGAAATTGTCTGATACGAGCGCGAAATATATCTCCAATTGGACTAAATATTGGAAATATAAGAACATCGAGTTAATTGTGTATGTAGATTTATGTGTGATTAAATGTATTAAATGTTTCATGATTTGCCAAATAACAATATAAAAAGAGATTAATTATGTATGTATGATTATTGTATACAAATATTAATTATATAAATAAATTAAATATTTTTCCTTATTAATATTTGGATAATTTGTAATTTTAATACTTTCTTCTACAAAAATGATTTATTAAATTATTTCCATTAAATTAATTATTATTTTGACTTGGTTAATCTAGTAGATAAATTTAGTAAATTTTATTATTAGTCTTGTATTACAGTCTTATAGTTTACATATAATTATGTCTCTTTCTTCTTTTCAAGCTTATCAAATAGAATAATATAAGAATTTATATGAAGAATTAATATGAATTTAAATTTTTTTTAAATTTACAAGAGAGTTATAAAATGATCTTTTCTTCGAGTTCTTATTTAATAGATAAATATTAAAAGGAATAAAATAATATTTTCAAAGAAAAAGGTCGTATAGGACGTGGAATGCAATGCATTTGCATAAAATTATTATGATTGGTGGTTTAATTATCAATCTTAATTATAAGTGATTTGCTTATTCTATGAAAAATTCATAAATATGGGATCAAGATTCATTCTAACCCGGACATATTAAGTCCAACGATCAATATTTCATTATCATTCCTTCGGTTTTGTCGCTGTTTTCATATTTTATCTACTTTTATTCTTGGCCATTGTTTTGCTGGAACTTAATCTTTTGCTATTATCATCTTTCTTGAGGATTTTATTATATACATTATATTATATATATTGTGCAAAAAATTATTTTTCAAATTAATAGTAGTATTAAAATAATAGTATGAATAAGTACATTTAAAATTTTTATTTTTCTGTATTTATAGTTTATATACTTTAAGGCTAATTTAATGCTTAAAAAAGATATATAATATTATTACTGTTTAATAAAAATAACTTTCAAATTGCTCTGTTGGTTTAATGAATAAATTATTAAATTAATTTAAAATATTTAATGTTCGTTTTCATGAAAGATTTGTTCTGCAAAATTTTCAATAATTTAAGTTTTAAAGGGATTAAGAGAGAGATATTAAATAGAATGTGTGATTTATTTTTACGTTGAATTTTTGTTTGCTCTTTTCATTACGGTTAAGGACTTAAAGTTGTTCTAAAATAATCTTGAATATTCAAGAAGTTCTTATAAGTTAAATATATAAATTATTTTATTATATATTAGAAGAATTATAAATATATTGATTATTTTGAGAGAATTACTGCATTTGATTAATTTCAAAAATAGGAATCATATTCAAAAATTCAAAAATAGAAATCATAATATTATATAAAAACTATAATAGTATTGTATTGTTTATTACATTTTATATGAGACATAATCGATATGAATGTTAATACAAAAAAATAGATTTTTTTAAAATCATAAATAACTATTATTCTCTCTAGATCTATTTCTTGATTTTTAATATTATTTCACATTACGACAAGACATGACACATGATATGAGATTAATAACGTTACGGTTATTAAAAATTGTATTGACATTTGATATATAATATATTTAAATCTGCATCGCGTCTAAATTTCGTCATAAACGTATAAATCTCATAGATGAATTTTTATCACAAATTCATATTATGGCAAATGATAATTTACATTTATCTAATATAATATTTAACTTATATAGGTACATTGACGAAAGTTATATTTCTCTCTCATTTTTTTCATATAAATTACATGTTATTTACAGATTTTTAAAAAATTGTGAATTAATCATTTATAGATAAAAAAATTAATTATAAAATTTTTGTTAAAATGATTCTAATAATAAGATTTAATTTTATAATAAAAATACCTCATTGTGATGACAATGTGTAAATTGTTTTTGACTCTCTTCAGATAAGCGGAGAAAAGATTACTCCTATTGATCTGAAGCCCAGTCTCTTGTACTGGTGCTCGCATTGCTTGATAAATTTTTTCTATTTCATCAGTTTGATATATGTTTGGAACATCACCATTATTTAAAATATTATTCAAGTCTTCCAACATAGAGTCATTCTTTATCTAGAAAAACCTATACGTATTATCCATGAAATATGTAAAACAAAACAATTATAATTAAATGAACATAATCCCTCTGGTTTAGCTCTGAAGTATAAAATAACTTAATCTGCTTATGGTGGATAGACTTTCATTTTTCAATGCAGAAGAATATGCTAGTATAGTATATTATTGTATAAGATAATAAGTTTTTTGTGCACGCGCGGCACACATACACACACATACACATATATGTTTTATCAATTGTAATAATATATTAATAATATATTAATAATAAATAATTATAAATATGACATACATCTGTATACATCTGTATATAATTAAAAAATACATAAGTTTGAATTATTTAATATTTTTAATTATTTAATCTAAAATTAAATTTTTATTTATTTAAAATTTTAATATGTAAAAATTATAAATTTAGTTAGAAACATAGTATAACATAACGATATAACTAATGATATACATAATAGAACATAATGATATAACATAATAGCAAAAAAATGACTCAGTTAATTCTCGTTATTTCTAAAATAAATCATTTTATTTTTCGTGTTTTATAAGAAACTCTATAAAATTACCTTGTGCAGTTCAATACTGCCTATTCCTTTTATTAGGTGTTATTTATCATATTAAACATAAATAAATAAATAAATTATATATATATATATATATATATATATATATATGTACAGGCAGAAATATAGAGAACAAAATATAATGAATTTCTCAAATATCCAATTAATTTAAGCTTTAATTGACAATCTGATTTAATTTTACCTGCGTATCAGAAAACAGAAAGACAATAGATTGATTCCGTAATCCTGCTTTTAAGATTATATTTTTGATATCGTCTCGCCAGTTATGAATCGTAAAAGCTTTATTGATTCCAATCTGGAAGCAATTGTACTCTTGGATGTGCGATGCAAGCTTCGTCAGACTTTGACGTCCTAGGAATATAAGTATTTCGTTTTGTATTTGCATCTTCTAGACGCAACATAATAAATGCAAGTTCTTTAGACAGTAAATTTTCTAGATTGAAGAAGCCATCAATATGAATTTCTTGGAAATACGATTGAAGAAGCCATAAAAATATATTAAAATATCATTCATTAAAATGAATAAGCTATTTATCAAGCATATCATACAATAGCTATATAGAACATTATGAGACATTAATATGAAAAACGAAAAATGATGCTGCGAATAATGTAGCTATTTAAAATTGTGCAAAGTTAACAATAGTACTGTACAATACTATTATTCAATTTATATTTATATTTGTACTTCTGATGGAATCAGTTTTATAAAGTTTATAATCTATTTCTAAATTTATAAAAAAATATACATATTATTATTACACATATAGTATTTAATATAAAAGTTAATATAAAAGTCAATTTTTTAAATTGATTAATTAATATCTTTATCAAATGTATCTTTTGTAAAAGAGTATATAAATTAATTTTAAGAACTATTATATCAATTATATCAATTATGAAAATATTTTGTGATATTGTAGGTGCAATTACAATATACCTGAACCACTCATTCCTAATAATAAGGCATTTCCTCTAGATTGTCGAAGAATTCGCATGATTCTACAAATATGACTCATTGCATCTTCAAACAGTACTAATTGCATCGGTGACATTGTTGAATTATTATAATCTTCCAAAAAATCAAGTAAAATTTTTTCCATCTATAAATATATAAAAAAAGTCGGCATACATTTTTTATTAATTTTTGTATTAGTTATAAACAAGAAACTTTTAAAAAGACAAACAAACACATGCAATTATATAAAAAAATCAAAAATAGTAATTATTAAAGTTTATATATTTACTATATTATTAAATTTAAATAATAATTATTAATTTCATAATTAAAAATTTATATTAATATTATATATATATATATATATATATATATATATATATATATATATGTATGTATATAATTAATATTAATATTTTATATATATATATATATATATATATATATATATAATAAACTTTAAATTTTAAATATACTGAAATTATATAGTTACTTGTTTTATATCTGTTATCTGTTCATATTCTTTTGCTATACCACAAAAGTCACCATAAAATAATGTTTCGTCTCCAATAAAATTATCAGCATCACAATGAAACTTTTCGTTTAATATATCTCGCAAGAATTGATCGAACCATTTTCTATCTTCGTCGTCAATCAATCGATCACTGAAGACTCGAATATTTTCATGATACCAAAGTAGTAATAGTTTTTCACGAGTCTACGTATAAAAAGATAAGTATGATACAAATTATATAATATGTAGGATAATTTCTATAAATTAATTTATATAAATTAATTAATTAAATATTATATAATATGTAAAATAATTTTTTTCTATAGATTAATTAAGAAAATAAATTGCAAAAAATGCGAAACATGTATTAATTGTTGCTCGATAAATAAAATTCCATAACGTGTATTTTTGTTTTGCATATTTAGATCAAGATGGATATAAAACATTCAATTTTATACTAGCTGTATATTAAATAAAATATTGAATTAGATTAAAGTGATCTCTATTGTAAAGCAATCAAGAAAAAATTGGAAACGTATAACAATATTCGCCAATTTATGTATAGACTGCTTTGTCACGTACAAATAAAGCCATTTAAATAATATTTTTTATTCCATTTTATATAAAATAGATTTATTCTTTTTTAATTCTATTTTAACTTTTTAATAACGTGCGATGTATAGCCATGAGCGCCGCGCATGTATGAACTGAAGGGAAGGTTTGTTTGATCATACACGAGTTTTAATCACTCGAGCACATAGTCTTTTATCGAATAATTCTTTTCATTCTACAGGATAGTTAATATTATCGACTTTGTTGAAGCAACTTGTTATTAATTCTGAGACGATTTGCCTTGCAATGAAATATAATCAATTTTTCAAATTAGAAAGTTAATAATACTTAAAAATTATACTAACTAGCATTTTTGTCGCATCCGCCATAAGTATACCTTGGAAAACTTTACTCAAATCACGAAGATTAAAAGTGTAATGGAATTTATTAGGAGTTGGCAGCATTTCGTTGCATGTATTTGTAAAAACTTTTAAAGTAACGTTCACTATATCATCCAACATATTTTCAAGTTCTGGTGTATTTGATAGCCATGAGTTAAGAATTGTTTTGAAGATATGTGACTGTAAATTAAATGTACAACAAAATTAAATGATTATAGATATCCATTATTTATAGATATCCATTTATAATTTTAAAAATATTATCTCATATACACAAACATTTAATTAGTTATCTTTTATAAATTTATAGTGCTTCCACTTACATAACATTTACTTTTTAAATAGACTTTTAAGCAATGAGTTTTTCCTGACAAGCATTCTAGCATGCATTCTATATTTAATTCAACATTAATTTTAAATTTTTAAGTTGTTCGAACTTTTGTTTAAAATTTACTTTAATTGAAATTTGATTTTACAATTACATGTAGATATTTACTGTTGAAACTTACAAGATAACAAAATAAATAGAATTTTTCTAATAAAAAATTAACTTAAAAGTTTGTTAAACTTTAATTTTAATTTTAATTTCAATTCAAAAAGTTTGTAAGGAAACATAAACATAAACCTTTCGGCGATAAATTTATAATATATCAATTGCCAAAAGGAGCTCATAAATTAAGAAACAATTATTACATTATTCTAATTAAAGTTTACTTATGTTTTATTACGTTTAGCACTAATAATAATATTACTCTAATATTTAATCAGATAACATCCGATGTTAGATAACATCCGAGGGCATCAGTACTGAGGAAATTCTCCAGAGTATGAATATTATGGATGATTTGACATGAATATTTAATCAACAATATTTAAACTCGGTCCCGCCTCATCGACCTTGAACGAAACGTACATAGAAGGTCTCGCGGGTGCGCAGAATCGGTGAGGTTGATTATGGTCTCCATTATATTAGCCGAGCAGGTGATTATGATAAATTATGGTCGGTACTGTCACGATTTACGATGTCTAATTGCGGCGAGCACGGAGGAACAAGACAAACAGCGCAGCTATGTTCCACGGTGTTCCGTCTTTTCTAAAGGGTCGCGATTATGCGCTTGGGTGTGGATGCCGATTCAATGGAAGAAAACTTGACGACGTAGTGGAAGGAAATGTACATGTACGTATGTGCAGCCACGAGTGTAACAAACGTCACATCGGAAATTATTTTTCATTGAATTTTAACACGCAAGCGACACAATAAATAAAATTGTAATATTCATTGTATCATTATACAATAAACATCTCTATTCTGAAATTATTTAAAATTCAATATTCTTGTACTTTTCGTCTATAAAATATCTTATAGAATATTTTTCTACTGATGATTTTGATTTGCGATTTTTTTATTTGTGTGTATGAATCAGTTTTTTTGATTAAAATTAATAAATAAAAAAATATTTTTAATAAAATATTTTTAATAAAATTAAAAAATTTATTTTCTTTAATATATGTTATTAAAGATTTTAATAATTAATAATTAAACTTTTTATAACATAAAATATTATGTAAAATATTTTAAACAAATTGTCTATTTATATTACTTATCTTTTTATATCTCTATAATATATTGCTCTAAAAAACAAATTTTGAATTAAAAACGAAACTTGCTTAAAATATTTGATACCTATAGAAGTGAGATATTTAAATCAAGGATCTTTTTTTCATTTGACAAGATTACAACTTCAGAAAATTCACGCGCGCGGAAATTTCACAATTTTATTTATAGGCAAAAAATAACGTGATATCCTGAAAGATTGTCGATAAATGCAAGCAATTAGCGTATTCAACGTGCAGTTTTACAAATACCATGCAACTCACTTTGGCGTCGTCCTCGATCTCTGGAAACGCAATAATATGGAAATGTCGTAGAAGTCTGGCAGTTATTGGGTTTCTTCCACCTCCGGAAAGTCCCATAGCTGCGACGAAATTTACGTCCTCGATGAACCTGAAGGATCCGATCTCTTTTCTGTCGTACCATCCTGTGGAAAATTTATCTTTATTTAAATTTTAGTATGTTACGTTTTATCATTATATTGTCATTATATAAATAGTATCATTATTTTATCATTATATAGGTAGTATTTTATATCATTATATAAAAAGTATAGACAGTATTATTTTTCATAATTGGTATCATTTCAAAGAAAATTGCAATAAAAAATCTTGAAAAATTTTTTGATTTATTAAAGCTGAACTTGTTAAAATAATGGAATGGATAATATATTGTAAGAATTTTTTCTATGATTCCATGATTATATAACTCGCCCGATATCGTATTAATCTGGTCGTATTTATATTCGAAATGCATAAATATATATCCATGATATTGGATTCCGTCATATAATAAAGGTCAACTGACAGCATCATTGCATTCAAGACTAGATATTATTCTATAGAAAAATGTCATTAAAATTATTAGATACTGAATTTAATATAACATTAATATAAATGTGTGGGAAACAAGTATTTAATAACTAGAAATTATTATTTTGCATGTTTCATTAAATTTTTATATGCATATTTTCATATATAATCTTTTAAAACATTAATTTCATCTTAAATTTTCTTATAATAATAAGCTTTTAAGAATCACGATTAAAATTTTCAAGATTAATTTATTAAAAATTATTTATCCGCTCTCTCTTTCGTAATCGTGATACAATTTATTTTTAATAAAATCCTGTAAACAAAGGTTTTAATGAACAGGTGTGTAATATAAAAATTATGAATCTCTTAAGTAAAAGATAGGTCAATACTGTAGCACGGAAATAAAAAGTATTTACTTTTGTAAACTTTATAATTTATGAAATATAATATTATCCATGAGATAAAAATATAAAATTATAAAATATTGCACTGTATTTTTTTTTATGAAAAAATGAAGAAATTTTAATAGATAATTGATGTATTATTTTGCAAATATATTTATAATGGCAAATCTAGAAAATTATTCGCAGATCAAAATAAAATATACTATATAGCTAAAATTAGAATAAAATAATTAGAATAATAACTAAATTGGAATAGTTAATAATCATGTATAGAATTATTTATTACTTTATAATTTTCATATAATACTCGCTGTTAAATATTTAACCATTATTTTTTTTCCACATTTTATTTTTAATTAAATTCTCTTGCATATTTTTTCATTCATCAATTTATCATCTTAACAATGATTAATAATTTTATATTATTATATATTATACATATTTGTATGTATAATTAATTCTGTTTTCTCACCGTTTGAAACCATAAATTGGCGGATTAATTCAATTGGTGGTTGAACACCATACGCATCCAGTGCCGGCATGTTCAAATCATCGATGAAAAAAATTTGTTTTTTCAGGATCGGCGGCCCGTAAATACCTTTACGTCTCTTGTCCAATTTCGCGTCAATTAAATCCTGTGCGAAAATAGATTCGTGCTATTAATCTCACTTCCCGTTTCCCGTTCGAAAAATACGTAATTTGCTTTTCTGCTGTACTTGCGTTTGATTCGCCGTAATTCGCGCCGAAAAAGTCATGATGTCGCAAATATATTTTTTCGGCATGTTACGCGATAATTTCGCCGACACCGTCAAAGTCTTACCGCTTCCGGTCGGACCCACACAGAGTATATTTGTCTCGTTCACGAGAAGATATTCAATTAATGCAGTGCTTCGCACGTTATCCTTAGTTGGAACCTCGATATCTGCAAAAGTTATTTGTCAAGAAAATGTTGAACAAAATATAAAACACATACCATTTTGAAATAACTATTTTGCAACACATACCATTTTGAAATAAAATGTCATAAATATAATAGTTATATTAATTATTAATAATTATATTTTACATTTACACAAACTAAAAACTTATATAATATATTATAATGTGGAACATCTAGGATAGTTGAGACTTTATATGTATCAACATTTCCTTATTAATAATCTTTCTTATTTTATTATAAAATCTTCATCTTGAAATAATTTTCTTCTGAAAATTTCTTTGAACATTGTATATTTTTTTGTGTATATGTATCTTTTACTCGTTTAATTTTAAATGTCTTTATAACTAGATCTCAAAAATTTAAAGTTCTTTTAAGTTAAATTAAATTTAAAATTCTGATAAGTTAAACCAAATTTAAAGTTCTGTTAAGTTAAATTAAATTCTATTAATTTAAATTAAAAATATCACTAAAAAATGTAGTTGAAACGTCCTTTTCGTATGTTTTGCTTGCTCAACATTATTATCAAAGCTTTCATTCAGTTTTTCCTTTTCATTGCGTGACTATAAGTAAAAATTAGATGCCAAACAAAATAATCAACTAATTAACTATGTATTGTATAAGTATAAATGTAATATATATATATATATATATATATATATATATATATATATGTATATATATGTATTTTTTTCCCCTAAAGAAATTATTGTGACTTACCGGTATATTTTGTTTCTGGCATTATTCTGATGAGTGGAATTCCATCCAACCATTTGTACCACTTCGGTGGAATTGGCTCTTGACCCTCGATAGGATCGGTGAATCCACCATCGTGCAATCTGAATAGTCATGTTAATTTCTATGTTAACTGCGCACATGTTTTCAAGTAAATTGTAATACCGAAGAAATTGTGTACATGAAGGTTTCCAGAAAAAAATTGTTTTTTATACTGATTGTGAGAAAAATATCCGGTGAAAAGGTAACGAACGGATATTATACCGATCACTTTAATCAGAAACAAAAGAAACCGGTCAGATATCCAATCAGAAAATCGATCGGATATCTGATCAGAAAATTCAAAATTCGGAACTTTCCGATCAGATATCCGATTAAAGTAATCGGTATAATATCCGTTCGTTACCTTTTCATCGGACATTTTTCTCATATAATTCATTTCTTGAATTACGTTATACTTATACCTGTAATCAAATACAAGGCCATCTTCTGGAAACGGTGTTTTATGTTGAGCATCCTTTTGTATTTTTCTCAGCCAATCACTAAATATACATCGGCTTTTATAATCACAAATAGCACCTAATCCCCAAACTATAGCAAAAGCTATCCATGGCGACAGCAAATCCGCTATGCACAAAGTATTGTGTGATCAATAATTGTGAGATTCGATATCATAAATATAATATAATATCATTTAAATTTCTTAGTGATTCTAATAGATTCTAATAGATTGAAAGAATGAGAAAAAATTATATATAATAATTAATATTTAAATATAGCAATCAATTTTTATTAATGAATAAATAAGTAAATAAATAAATAAATAAAATAAATATATATATATATATATATATATATATATATATAAAATAAAGAATAATTTATAATATGTGTTTAATGAACATAGCCTGTCATCAAATTATTTTAAAAATATTACATCAAGTCTGTACTATATCATTTTTATTTTCATATTACATCTCATATTACATCAAACGTCATTTCTATTGTTATATTTAACTGAACGTTAAATCAATTTGGAAATACAATATAATTATTTCAATATTATTATTTCAATATTAACACCAATTATATTTAAAGTTAAAATATTATGCTGTTCTGCACGACATTACATTTTTGCATACGTAGCACAAGTTTGACATTTATGCTCTTAAGCTGCTTATGTACATATGACAAATTGTTACAGAATTGATGAATAGAAACAGATAGCACTTTTGATAATAATACAGGCTCAAGTGCATATCGAGTACCAATTTTATTTCGCTTTGTATGTATATTAGTATACGTAATTACGTAACATATTCAAAAATAACTTAAATTATTCAGTTTTTTAAATTTATTATTTATGATATATGGCAATGCTCATGTGCAAAATTTCAGTTAAAATTCAGTTACACAGTTTTAAATTAATTGCAACTTACGTATAGTCCTTTGGAAAGCAAAACTTGGTGGCGCTTTTCCTTCGCGGCCGACCATCGGTCTGATTCTGAAGTTCATTAGATTTATGTAAGATTGAACAATGGCGGAATCTACCGTATCCACGATTTCTCGTAAACTTTCTCGTACAAGCTTCAAACCGGGAAATACTAATTGAGCTGTTAGACTTCTTATTTCTTCGACGTAATCGTTCATCGCCTATGAAAACGATAAAGACTTTTTTTACGTAATTATATCTTACATGTATCTAATTAGATAATAAAGTTACAGATTAATAGTATTACACATAAAATTATATTTATTTGTTGCTAATTAAAGACTCAAAAAACGAGTTTAAAAACTTGAGAATTTAAAAATATCAGTGAAAATATATATAACGATAAAAGATTAAAGGTTAAGTAGTAAAGTTTATTCTAAAAATTTAATTTAATATGATTTTTTAATAATAATTCAATAATAATAATTTTTTAATAATATAATAATTTTATTTCTGCAATACGCAGAATTTCGGGATTAGAGAATAAATATTTATTTAAAAACAAATATGCTATTTATACATAAATATTTTCAAAAACATTATTATACACTAAATTTATATACCAAATTTTAATAAAATGTATATTATTTCAATTATTTAAATATAAATTACATATTTCTTCGTTAATTCTTCCAATATACTAAATGAAGGCCAAAAATATTTCTATAAAAATATTCTTTTGAAAATATTTACTTACCTTTGGTAATGATCGTATCCAGCAATCGATTAAAGGTTGCAGACCTAAATTTTCAGATTCTATGTATACCATACCACATCTGTATTGACGAAAATAGAAACGTTCATCACATAATTTTAATAACATTTTAATTAATACATTGTGTTCTCTTTTAAAAATGTTTATTATTGTTGTTTATTATATTTTATTCAATATTTTCGAGTGCTTTTACAATGCTAAACTTGTCTATATTAATATTAATAGATAATATATATAATATATAATGTTAATGTATATTAATAATTCTCGCTCTCCCCCCCCCCTCTCTTTCTTTCTTTCTTTTTCTATCATATAATTACTCATCATATTTTATTGATAATCTTATAATTGACAATTATTATTTTTTACTTTATTATTATTTTTTCATTATTATAATTGACAATTATTATTTTTATTTCAAAATCAATTATTATTTTTATTTCAAAATCAATGTAATTTATTTTTTTGTGTAATTCTGGAAATAATTTTTTGTAGTTCACTCGAAAAGGACCAAAACCATGGTCGAAATGTCGTGATTCACTTTAATAAAAAATTTGCCAGTGTGATCGTTTTTAATTACTTCTTTTATTTTATTTACTGGCGACCTTCAAGAGTTTAATGTTATTATTTTTTACATTAATTTTTATAAATCTGAGTCTGCATGTTTATTATTAATAATTTTATTATAATTAATATATATTTTAATTGTGATCAATACAAAAACTCATTTTTCATTAATTCTCATCATCATTATCAAGCATTATAAATTTTAAACATTGATTTAAATTACAGCAAATAAACTTAAATGGAAATCAATCTTAGAATATTTTAATAAAAAAATTTTTTATATCATTTTATGTCACTTTGGGATTAAAACGCTTTATTTTATTTATAACTTAAAGAATTTAGAAAAAAGCTACTAAAGAAGTATATGTGTGTATGTGTATGTATGGGTAATAATATTGAGTTTATTAATAATAGTGAGTTTATTAATAATAGTGAGTTTATTAATCATTAGAATTCTGCTATTATTTTATTTAAATTAAATATCTAGAATAAAAAAGATAATTCAACTAAGCTGAATCTAGAACATATAAAAATATTTTTTAATGTGATATTACCATCTAATTTTACATATTATGGATTTATTATTTTTTAAGAGCTATAAGCTCTTCGAATCACTTAACAAGTGTTAACAAGTGTTATTAATTACCAATTATATAAAATATTATATTTTTGCAATTTGCAATTAACAAAATTATTTTATTTATTTCTTTCATTATAGCAATGAAAGCCTATTGAACCAATTTCGTATTACCTAGATATTGTAGCCGGGGAAGCCACTTGAAGATCAGATACTTCGAATATTATGGTTTGAGTTGGTAATAGCTTTATTATCTCCCCTGACGAAAGGCAAAGCTTTTTATTATCATCCAGGACGGTGTTCATATTCTCAATCCAAGCTGCATCGACCGGTCCATCAAAAATGTACCAAAATTTATCATGATCCGCTGCTGTTATATCTGCTCGTATTAAAGTTGGCAATATTCCGTCTGTCCTGAAAATCGAATGTGCACTGTAGATATCAATATTACGATAATATCGTATCTATTTTAAAAATGTTACATTTTTAATACTATAAAACTCGTATATTTTATATATTAATAGACTGATATATATTTACATATTTACTATTTATGTATTACTATTAATTCATTATATGTTTCTTATTTGTTATATCTCTCTATTAGTATTTATGTATAATTATATATAAATAAATTGCAGTAAATGCATTTTAATAAACAATTTATTTAAATTTAAACATAAATTATTTCTAATAAAACTATTAACAAAATCATAAATTATTTATATAAAAATATTTACACTATAATATTTTTATTTTTAATTAAAATTAGAGGAAATTATGTTTAGGAGAATTAATTAAAATATAATATATATACATTTCCACTAGAGTAGAAAGTGTCGAAAGAAAATTAAATATATACAGATGTATATCCAAGAAATATTTTTTTATATATTAAAAATGCATATATTGTTAATTGAAACATATAATGAAAGAGTGATATAACTATTATTTTATTAATTATTTTAATTTACACATTGAAATGAGTTGAAAGTTTGTTTATATATGAGAACATAATATCAGAGAAAGGAATTTCTCCAAATATGTCAGATTACAATGATGATAATAGTTCATTATCTGCTTTATATACGATGCATTTGTTTCTATAATAAGAGTATTTTAATTAATTATATACGCGAGGTAACATTTTGATAATATGTAGTATTCTATATTAGTTTTAATATTGTGATATCTATGAAAATATATTTCCAAATTATATAAAAGAAAAATTAACATGATCTTGATATGAAAAACAGATAAAATTGTGAAATGATACTAAAAAACATATTTTTGTTCAGAGCATTTAATACGCTTAATGCGTGCGGCGTTTGAGATTAATTATCATAATTAATCGAAAATTAGAAGCGAACGATGGAATAATAATGTCGAATTTATTTGTATTAAAACGTCGAGTGTAATGCAACAGCTAATATATATACATACATACATATATATATATATATATATATATATATATATATATATAGTTTTAATGTTAAATTCCTCTTAATTACAATTCCTCCCTTCCACATTTGATTTAACATAAATGCGTATAAATGTAATAAAAATACTTTATAAATATATATAATAAAATTATAAATAAATATTAAAATAAAAATTGAATAAATATTGATTATTAAAGTTGAATAGCAGATTTTTGTACATATGTGTTGAAACGTTTGATATAATAAAATATGTATATAAACGTTGGTTTTTCTTCATATAATATTTTAAGAAATTTGCTTCACGTTTTAATATAGAAAAAAATCTTTTAAATTGAAGAAAAACATTGTTTATTTGATAAATTTTTAAAATTCAAGGAATTGCAAATTTGTAGCTTCGACAAACATAACATATATATATGAAATTTAGTGATATTGCAGTTTGACAATTTTTTCACAGTCGATATATCGCTTACCATTCGTGTATATTGGGATCATATTCACCATATAGTTGACCTATTGTTATAGCTTTTGGATTCAATACATGCGAGATAACTGCTGTGAATGGCTTACCACATGGTTGTGGTCGACCTTTTAGATTTGTACACGCGTGTTTTAAGACTTCGTAACACTGGAAATAATCACACAAAATAGATACATTATTTATTAATTATTTATGTTAATCTCTCTATTTATATCATAGAAAAATAAGAGATAATTTTTTTTTAATTATAAATTATTTAGTATACTATAAATAAATTAATATTAGATGTGACATGTGCACATTCTAGAAATAGGTGTGTTTAATAAACATTATTGCAAAACATTTGTACCGTAACAAATAATTAATTTAATAATTTTTTTCGTAATTATTTTTGTCATTTCACATTTAAATTCAATTTTATCCCGAGAGCTTATTTTAAACTCCCATTTGTTTCTATGTACTGTTGCCTTGTTAGCTTCTAAAAGGTTTTCTCTTCTAGTTAATTAATGTAATTAGTTAATTAAGAAAAATTTTTATACGTTATAAATATAAAATTTTAAACAAAAAGTTTCTTTTAAAATTTTATAAAAAAATTTAATATTTTATTATTTGTGCTAATTTGTACTTTCTTAAAGATAATTTTTTTTTTTATTGAAAGTACTACGAATTTTTTTGTATAAAGTATACTACGAATCATGTATAAATATTTTATTATAAGAGATTGGTCTCAAATTTTTCTTTTAGAAAAATATTTAGAATAATATAAATTATAAAGATAATTAAAAGCATTCTTGTAAATTAAATATTAATCGCGATAATACATGGCAAGAATTTTCTTGTTATGAGAAAGGTGATTTTTTATAAATTTTATATAAGATTGTTTTCGAAAAAAATTATTATTCAAAAATTGAATAATAAAATAAATTGCAGATAGTTTACAAATAATTATAGAGAGATATGTATATATTTAACTGATTCAATCAGTACAATTAAATTTTTAACTTCAAGCATGAGTAAATGTTTAAGAATTGAAGGATGACATATATACTATTACATTAAAAGTTTGACGTGATATTTTATATATTATTATACGCATATTAATATCCTATATATCATTATACGCATATTAATATCCTATATATTTTTATACGCATATTAATATCCTATATATCTTTTTATAAATCCACTTAATTTTTGACCTTCTTATTGATGAAATTTCTTTTATTCATCAATAAATATAATTTGTGATATGTATAGAAGCTAGTAAATTGTTATTTCTCAACGTAATACTAGTATTGCGTTAATGATGAAGCCAACGTGTACGAAAGCTAACATAGGATGGCGAGTTGATTGCGAAAATGATTGAAATTGTTTAGATTGGTCAGAGTTAAGCGTATATGCTGAACAAATATAATCATTAATTAAACATTATTTTGAAGGAAAGGAACAAGAAAAGCGTATTAAAATAAAAGATATATCTTTTATATTTATAAGTCTTTTTGATGCGTAATAATAGTTTTTTAAAAATATTTTTAAATTTATAAGGAAAATTATAATAAATAAATGCAAACATTTTTACTATCTTAGTTTTTAAAATCTTTTTTAAAATTAAAAGCAAAAATATATGAGGAAGTTGTCATGTCTGAAAGTAACTTATTTTTAGAGAATTAGTCTTTAAAATAGAATAATATCGTTTCATATTTTTTCTTTTCTGACAAAAAAAAAGTGTTTCTTATTTATAAAATTAATTTAAAATTAATGTGATGCTATCAGCGAAGTAAAAAGAACAATGTATTTTATATTATCGGCTATTCTCGGCTGTTATCGGTTATAAATTTGAACATATATTAATTAATTTAACATATCCTTTATACGTCTATTAATATAGTAGTAATAACCTACGCTATGTCGGACATAATCAGTGTTTGCTGAACATATCATATACATCCGTAATTAACAAGATATATTTTTAACATTGAAAATTTCACGATATACGAAAAGTAAAATAGTAAAAAATCTCAAATTTATCAAGTAGAGAATATACATTAGAATATAAATTAGATTTTTTTAATTTCCATGATATTTTAACGAAATATTATATCATGAAAAAACTAACACCATTTAAAATTTTTAACATTTTGACCTTGATATGAAATCCATTAAAAATTGAAATTTATATTCTATTTATTTACATTTCAAAAGATATCTAGATTTTTATTAGTTTATAACATAAAAGCTATTAAAACTTTCGATAATCCTGTTTGAAAAAAAGTCTCTTCGTTATTGAACAAAATTTATTCAAATAGGTTATTCGGCTGGAATCTTCTGTAATAGAAGCATAGAATAAAAGTAACAAAAAATTTCACTGGATAATGGACTATGAATTTTTATTCGTAACTTTATCGTATAAAAGCTATCTATCTCGAATCGAAGTTCAACTAAGTTTGTTTTACAAATAGAACTTGTAAAATATATAAAATATTTTGCATTTTATAAATTTCTTGATAATATGTGTATAAGAATTTAATATATAAATTTATTCTACTATTTGTTGCGAAAATTGCATGCTTCAAAATCACAAAGTACTGTCATATTTCTTTTATCCTATTGTTACAAGATGGAAAGAAGATCGCGACGCACTTTCTTCACAATATCTTTCTTCGCAGCTCCAGACGTAAGATGACGTAAGATGAAGCTCAACAATGTGCATAGTGTATAATGGATTCTTCTCTATGACTTCTTAAAAAAATCAATATCTCAAATTCAATATCTCGAAATTCTGATGCTTAAAATTCAAGTAGAGTTTATAACAATGTGTTATACTTGGTACTTTGTATGCCAAAAATCTCCCAATAACAATTTAATATATCAATATATTGTTCGTAGTGAAGATTTTGTATTTCAAGATCAAAAAGTACAATGACATCACATGATACACATCTCTTTTTCATTCTATTTTTAAAGGACGAAATACATCTCTTTTTCATTCTATTTTTAAAGGACGAAATAAAGATGCTCCTTCGCTTCATAATCTTCATTATGTTTTTACAGAGCGAAAAAAAGGCCTTTTTTTCGCAATTTTTAGTCTATTTTTGTAGAACGAAAAAAATACCCTTCCTTTGCTTTTTCGAAGCCGTAAGGCGCAGAACGATGTGAAGCCCAACGACGCCGGCGTTGTCGACATCAGCGGTGTCCGTCGAGACGCCGGCAGGATCTCTACAAAGCGCATGCGGCGGAACTTTTCGGCTTGGGACAGATGCGTTCTCATAGAAGCCTGTGTTCCCAGTTTACCCGACGACGTTTCCCATCACACGACGCGCACATTTTCCTATATACGCGTTTGTGGCGATCCTATTTAAATATAGAAATATCGCGAAATATATATTTTCCTCATATGACGTTTAGATCGTGAATGTTCGAAAACTCGGAACTTTTGCCGATCGCACGATATAGTTGAATTATCGAAGAGAAAGAATTACCAGAAAGTTTCTGGACGTTCTATTGGGTGATTAAATTTAAATGAAGATTGCAGACCACACGTACTATTTTCATCATTCGTCGAATTCGTTTGAAAACCCTGAAGTGCTTTTTATTTGAAAAAACTCCTGGTAGTTTCATTATCGCATTCAACAAAGCTGACAAAAAAATTCTCTGTAATCCCAGTTCAATTTCAATGAAAATTGCAGAATACATTGTATTTTTCAATTACAATCAGCGTACAAGTTCGACGATTGAAAATCTTTCGAGGGTGTTTTAATTGAGTGTTAGTCAGTAAAAAAGTTAGTGCTTTAACGAAATTAAGGGATTATTTACCCTAAAAAGATTTAATTTTCTGAAAGAACCAATTCAAGAAACAATTTTTTTGTGACATTTTACATCGATTAAAAATATATCGTCAGATTAAGGCAACGATGAAAATCTTGAAATATATTTTTAATTGTTAAAATGCTGTACAACATATCAAGAAGATATATTTCGATCTTTGCTTGAATTTTGTGTGCGTGGTGATAGGTAGAAAGATGAGAAAAGGCAGAATTAATGAAAAAGATGCATGTAGAAAATCGGATGACATATATAATTTTATTCTTTGCGACACGTGACAATTAAGTGCGCTACTGATTATATATTTCTCGCGAACGAAAGTTCTTATTTAAGAATTATTCAACCAAGCATGCTGCAAAGCGCTTAATGAAATTGTAAAGTGCAAGCTAGTGATTGTGCAATTTAATTAAATGGTAAGTTGGCGTGTTTAATAATTTAATAACGACGCGATATAACACTCTAAAGGAATACGAAGAGGTAATTAAAAAAAAACTTATAAATAAACATTAGTGCGCTTTTCTTAACACGTGAGATATCTGGATACGAAGAATAAAACCCTCATACACTAAATTACGATCGCTGAATCAGCTAAACTGTAGATACGCTAAAGATTCGGGAGCTATTCGAGTCAAGGTTGAGCGAGTAATGAATGTGAGGAATACGATGAAATCGCATTCTCACAGAAACGCGCGCTGTTTATCAATTCTACCATACTTCCGCATTTATCTCGCGTTCAAATGTGTTGCAAGCTATGAATCGATAAATCGACTTTTAATGCGCGGCTTGCTCGATTTGTAATCATTCGTACGTAGTTGAAGAAAAATGGACAATTAAGAAGTATAATTAAGAAATCAATTCAGAGACTATTAAATCTAAATGCATAGCGTTCTCGTTTCTGCGTTAATGAAATAAACATGAGAATTTGAACAGAATTATGACTAAGAACAATGGACGAATCCCTTTTGTTCTCATTAACGCAGAACGTTTCGACGTGCCAATTGATAGCGTAAAGGTTCTCTTTAGAAAATGTGTTGGATACGAAATAGCGTCCACATAAAAATTATCTCGTATTTCTCTAATTGCGAGCGATTCAATGAACTCGAAAATTCGTTCATCTTATGGATATAATTGAATACGGATTTTATCAATTAATGATTAATTTCCTATCATTCGGGCATTATCACTGAACCACAACTAAAAAACTTATACAAATAAATGTAATGATAAATATAATGAATTCGCAATTTTCTCGAAATTGAATTAACGCGCATGCCCTCGCAGAATAAAATGCATATAAATTACTGATCTGAAATCCGGAAAAATAAATTGAATAATGTGCGTACGTAAATTACGCATTAAATGAAATCGTATCGATTGAGCGAAACGTGTGCGGAAACAGTACTGTTTAGCTACATTCCCCTGCAAACGCAATTAAATTGAATGTAATCGAACTGAAAATGTAAACGGTTATGTCACCCGCTTAGATGGACGTTTGAACAGGGGAAAAAAATTTGTGCCGAACAAACACGGATGTTCGAACGTTTAAACGCAATCGCGCACCCAATACCGACGCTAATACGTGTCAGCGACGTTGGAAAGTCTCCAACCGTTTTGCCGTGCGTTTCCTCATAGCGGAATGCGTCCGCCCTGCAACCGTGTCAGATCAAGTAGCTTTTTAATCTGACTACTGATTTCGAATAGTTATTTCAACAAATAGACTGAACTTTCAACGCGTACCAGATGTTTGATTCTGGATAATGTCTACAATATTGTTTATAATTTATTGCTTATATATTTATTGTTCACAAATTTAGAAAGCTTCCGCCAATCTTTTGTCATTCATCTAGCAGGTAGCGCGATATTTTCCGTATTCGGAAAAAGAAAGGAAGGCATTTTTTTATCGAAACAATATTGCTTATCACGCGCGATTCGAACGTAATAGTGCGCAGAATATTGTCGTGTTCGTGTCGACAATTTTAACGAATCTTCATCAAACACACCATACACGCATTCTCATTCAATAGGTTTTATCGGCGTAAGATATACGTTATACTGGAAATTTCCATCGGACAATCATTTTGCTGATGGCACCCGTGATTCAAGCGTTCAGTGCAACTCTATAGCCCACATTGGCTTGGTCTGTATCAACAACGTCACACCTACGAGCCTGGAGAATGGCCAATATTATTGCGACGTGCATTACGCGCTGATGCACATCGCAACCGATCGCATCCAGGTTTCTGGAGCAATCAAGAGAATCATCGAAGAGAATTTCCTTTGTCTATTAATGTGATCTCGTTATAGTGCAACCATGTTCGCGTTTCACGAACTATCGAGTAGAGTTTCGAGAGATCATCAAATATCGACGACAATTGGTGATATGTCTCCGCGATTCCGAAGATCGGCGTCGCCAACAGTTTGGCCGAACCGGACGACCTACGATTATGGAAACTATAGCTTAGACATGTTTTCTGATATGGACGAGGAATTGGATGGAATCTGCACCTCGCTATACGTTCTCCTGGATTTTTTCCATGTGTATTACATACCGGCCATTATTCTATTGGGCTTGGTAGGTAACCTGTTGTCGTGCGTAGTCTTCCTCAAGACGCATCTGAAGCTGCGCAGTTCCAGCTACTACTTGGCCGCATTAGCCACTGCTGATTTCGGCTTTCTCATGTCCCTGCTTCTGGTGTGGCTTAATAGCACAGTAGGCTGGAAAGTCTTTAACAATGACGGCTGGTGCGAAACATTGGTGTATGTGAGTGCGGTTTGTAGCTCGCTCAGCGTTTGGCTGATCGTCGCTTTCACCGTCGAGAGATTCATCGCCGTTCAATATCCACTCCATCGGCCGCATATGTGCACCGTAGCGCGAGCAAAAACGATCATTCTGGTGTTGACGATCTTTGCCCTGGCTAGCCACTCGTATTCTTTCGTCACTGCCGGGGTGGTGAAAAATCCGGACGGCTACGAGGTGTGCGATTTGAGGATCGAATATCTGGAAACCATGCGGATTATCAGCATTATCGACAGCATAGCAAGCCTGATTGTGCCACTTGTACTCATCATCGTGATGAATACTATGATCATGAGAAATCTCCTCAAGTTTGGCAGGCGATTCAACCAGGAGCCCGGTTACACCGCTAATTGCGCCAATAGGGAGAAGGCCGATATCAATCTCAATCAAATCCCGGTAAGTTTCCTTCAGTAACAGATCTTGGTTCGTAATTGCGTTTGTTATGTATATGCAATGTACATGATGTACATGATGTCTATTATGATATATTAGTTTTCCTTTTAAAAGATTTAATTTTTATTCAATGCAAGCTTTTCTTTTAAAAGATTTAATTTTTATCATCCATTAAATAGATATATAATTTATATCATATTTCTTTTGTAAATTTGGTATCGTATTTTTGTATATTACAAAGAGCTTCAGTTAAAGTACTTATATACACATATATTTGCACTGTTATTATAAAATTTTTTTATTACTTTATCTCTATATTTTTTAAAATAAAGCATACACTGATTTTTCTCTAAATTCATTAAAGTATTTATATTATATTACATAAACACTTCTATTTAAAATAAAGTTCTTTAATTTTGAAATGATTTCAAAATAATCTTAATGTGTAATTTTCTAAAAAAATTTATTAATTTTTAGAAATGACAATTTATTTAGAAATGACAATTTTTATTAAATGACAATTTGTAAGCTAAGCGTAAAAAAATTAAATTGTTTTATTTAAATAATTTGTTTTATTGGATTTAAAAAATAAATTGAAAACAATAAATTGTAAACATATATATATATATATATATATATATATATATATATATATCTTTCTCTTTACACGTTTCATCGCTTTATATATTTTTTACTTAATTGATACTATTAATAAATGGCTAATGCACGTGGACACTTTATGATGAGTTTGCATGCACAAAATTATTGCGGACACTGGGAATTGCTGGATAACTACTGAATATATACTGTTAAATAGTTAATGCATGCTTTATGATAATAGTTTGCATATGCAAAATTATTGTACATGTAATATTATATATATGTTAAAATATTACTTGACAAATATTAAATAGATATATAATTTAAATTATACTGTTTTTTAATTTTGCAAAATTTTTAATATGCATAAATATATTATTAAAATATTTAATGGATCTAATTAATCACATATCGTTAAGTGATTAACGATATGTGATTTCAAAATTTGATATAATTTACAATAAAAATATTTATATAGATATTATTTTGTTTGTGATATTTTTTTCCAGTTTTATTACTATCGAAAATTCTGGAGTTTTAGAATATATAACACTCATGATATGGTTTTAGAAGTATTTCTTCCCACGTATGTTATCATAAATTCTTAGAAGTAAACATTGAAATATTGAGTTTTCCCTGTGCGATCAATCGATGCTGTTGGCTGTGTATGAGCAGAGCATCGAAACGAGCATATATAATCTGAAACATCAACAAATCTGGAAATAGTTTATCCACTCATAATTTCTAAAAAGTACCACAAAAAGAAGAGAATAAAAGGCAAAAATTGATTTATTTTTGAAAACATATGGGGTACGTTTTAACTAAGAGGCAGCATCACTTATTGCTTCTTACAATTGATAAGTATAATAAGTATAATAAGATATCATCGAACTAGAGAATTTAAAAAATACAGAGATGTTCAATTATCTAAATTGTTGTTTAGACGAGAATAGGTAGATTTAAAAAGTCGTGTCAACTTTTTTTCAAACATTATAAGCAAATTCTTATTTCTATTTAATATCTCTCTAATATCTTCTCTCTAATATCATTGCTCCGATATAAAAAGTGTGTCGATATCTATATAGTATCAGAGGAACGTGCCGCTTCTTCGAATGCGGTTCGTCGACTATTTTCGACCAACGTATAAATACTCTCGCGGCTTACATAACTAACTGCCATTCATCTTTACGGATCGACGTGCGTGCATTGCCGGCGCTTCCTGCTAGGCTCGCTGTTTATAATCACTCTTGGGTATGTTATCGACATATCATGAATCGCATGGAATCTGCCTTTTGCTCGGTCATTGATATTGGTGGGTGGATATAGGGGCGGAAAAGATTACGAAGTAAATCTCGTGACATATCCCCATTGCGAGTTAGATACATTATTGTAATCCATGAGGAGAGAAACGTATCCATAAAATATGTTTCAAGAAAATATTTATAAAAAAAATAAGATATATAAGATTTTGTGTGTATGAGAACTTTTTTGCGTCTGAGTATCATGCGAAAAAGAAAATCAAATTTATTAGAAAAAATAAATTTTTTATTAAAAATATATTTTGTATATTCTTAATTTTGTATTTTTTTATATTGATTTATTTCTTTTAACGTAAAGAATTTTAATTTGGCTATAGAGTAAATTAAGTTATTTTTAGTATAATTAAAAAACGAACATTACGTCTTTACACATAAATGCATGCTCTAACATCAACTTAATATAAAAACTACTATTGCTATTTGTCTAAATAAATTAAAAATTATAAATGCAACGAATATATATATATATATATATATATATATATATATCTAGTATTCTGTTAATGTAATGACCTAGTATTCAGTTTTCGATATTATGATATTTTTTAATACACTTTCTGTATATTTAATTACATTATAAATCTCTTGATGCGCTATCGAAGATTGGAGAGATTGAAATTGTCGTTTTTAGACGAGATTGAATGCTAGTTATTATTTGAGGACAAAAGTAAATTTTGCAACTATTGTTTCTTGTTGGAAGTTAATCTTAAAAAAAAAATAAAATAAAAAATTCATTCAATTTACAGTGTATAAAGAGACAATTTCAAGGGAATAAAGTAGGCATTATTTCATCAAACTGGGTGAATAAAAATATATATTGTGACAATTGTTTAAGGAAAGTGGCATTCAATCATTATAAAAAATATTAGGCTTTATTATAAATTTTTTTATGAACTAAATTTAATAATTTCTATATATTATAATATTTACACATATATTTATAAATAAATATGATTAAAATTAAATAAACTAATAATTTTATTTTATATATCTGTAAAATATAAATATTTTTACATTTCCATTTTTTTGATATATTTAAAACATTTTTAGAGCATTTTCGTTTCGATAGAAATGTAAAAAAAAATGGTATTTTATTTTTTTGGAGGGATATATAAATGAATAACACACTTTTCAAGATAAGTATAACAATATATAATTTTTAAAAAGAAATTTAAATATATAATGAAGCAATATGAACAAAAAATAACAATTTAAAAAAATTTTAAATAATTTTAAACTCATTTTAGTTTTAAAGCTAGCGTCAAATTTTACATATCGCATTTTATTTTCTATAAATTTCATAAAAAATATATTTGATATATGTATATACTCACAACTCAATTCACGCACAGTTAAACTTGTAAAAAGTTACATTTAATTGGAATTATATATTTCAATGTTTTGTCTTTCTAGCAGCATTTTATATTTGCATTGCATTTGCTCTAAAAAACAAATCAAATATCATAGCATTCAATACTATCGCCATATCAAAGAAAAAAACATCAATATGAAAGAAATCAATATTTAAAACAAAATGAATACATAAAATAACGTTGATTGCTGACACGAATCAGTAAAAGAAGGATAAAAAGTCAATTTTTGATTGTGCAATTATTATTATAATATTTCGAGAAATATAAATGATAATTTACTAATTTATACATTATCATTATATTTAACATTTTAATTATTACTTAACATTTTAACAATTTTAATTAAAAATTGTTATTTATGTAATATAAATGTTAAAAATGTGATCGATTTAAGGTATAACATTTTCATGCCTTACATATAAATGCGATTATCACAAAGCGCAATAAATATCGAGTGCATGTAACAATGTTTTATTAATTTTCTAAGGAATAACAATTTAAGAAAATTGATACATTTTTATATTTATTTTTCTCATTCTTTTTTGTATAGTATATTACCATAAAGTTCTCTTTTTTTTATTTTTAATACCGTACTCGTCGTTCCGTAAATTGTCACAATATTGTTATTGTATATTATATTTTACGGAACAAAACGTTAAACATAAAGGTAAAGAATGTGGGACGCGGCATTCTTTATGCTGCTATTTCTTTGATAAAAGACACGTGCTGGTATATTCAAAGTTACTATTTGCAAGCAAGTGAAGTTAAATGACATATTTAAGTGTCAATAAAAAAACTCAACGCTTGCTGTGACTATACTTTTTCATATACTTTTTATCGAGCGAAATATAATCACCATGTTGATTGTCTAGTGTGCGCATCAGTTGGCATATAATTGCAGTAACACGAATTAAAGATGAAAAAAGAAAAATGCAACGAGATTCACGTACAGAATTAAAAAATATTAGACTCAAATGCAATATTTGATAATTTATTTTTTAATTAGATTTGTATCAAAACATGATTTGTAGCAAAATGTAAGCATTATATAAATATACACGTTCTACACAATTAAGTTGTATGTATCGAAAACGAATATTAGGACACATATTTTATTCTTTTTAATATTTTAAAAGAAAAATGTGCTTATAAATTTAGATATCATTTTTTTACATTTTTAATATTTTAAAATACAAATATATAAATCATTATATTGTATATAATATTAATAAATAAAAAATGATTCAAATTAAAATATTCAAGTATATTATTTAGAACCTTACAAACATATGTAGTATATGTAGTATATAGTAATATAATATGTAATATAATATAATATATTAATTAGAACCTTAAAAACATATGTAGTATATGTAGTATATAGTAATATAATATGTAGTAGCATTTATGGATTAATATTAATTTTATTAATATTTAATTTTTACTTGTGGTTCACACATATATGATTAATATTTACTTGTTCATATATATAATTACAATAGTTGCTGTATTCTAATCTTTAATTAAAGAATTTTATTTTATTAGAAAGAACAAAGAGAGAAAAATTAATAATAAATTAATAATAAATAATTAATAACAATATTTAAAAAAAAGAAAATGCATTGAAAAAACTATTCTCTTACTCTCAAGAATATATATATATATATATATATACACGAAAAAGTATATTAAATTTAAAAATAAATGATTT